GCTAAGCGTATCTCTTGTCACCCATCGCTCTGCTTCGGGATCTTATGACACACACGGAGCATGACAAGAGCATAAACGTAACGAAGCCAGTAGCAAACAAAAGCACCCACCCCACGTGCGCTGTGCGTAGGAAGAATGGCTCTACAAGGGGGCAGCGGACCCGCTTCACGCCTGTCCTGCGCAGTGCACGCCCAGGCCCACAGCGGGAACTTGCGGAAAAAGTGCACCATCGCCATAACCAAGGCAAAGGCCAAACGGCAGCATCGTATGGCGGGATGGTCTCCGGGAAACACTCAGAAGTCTGGTGAGGCAGGAAAGGTGCAGGACAGCATCCGGCCATTGGACCCTGAAGACCCAGTGGCTGCGGGATGGTTGCAGACATCCAGCGGGACGCATTCTCAGGCCACCCCTCGAACTGACCGGAGAGGCTCCAAGTCCCCTTTGACTCATGCAACCCCCACCCCCATCCATAAGGCCTCCTCACAGATAATCGTTTCTATTTCCAGCCTTGAGTGAAACTCCATTTAATTTTCCAGGTTCTAAACAGTAAGATCCATGTAACAAAGAGATGCTTTTTGAAGTTTATTCTCCACTTTTTCTAAAGACATGGCAGAAAAATGTCATATATATCTTTTTAACCATTAAGAAAACATGACAGATGTGCCCGGGAAAAAAAAGTAGTATTACACAAAAAAATACCAACACAGTCAGGAGCCGGGGTGGCTCAGGTTATGAACTCAGGGTCCTGGGATCGAGCCCCGCATCGGGCTCCCTGCTCAGCAGGACGCCTGCTTCTCCCTCCGCCCCGCCCCTCACCACCCCCCAGCACCCCCATGCACACTCCTGCTCTTTCTCTAATAAATAAAATCTTTTAAAAAAGTAATATAAATTCAACTGGTAATGAATTAAAAACATTCAAACTGTATCTAAAATGACCTTATGGTTTTCAAAAATTATGTGTATAGAATTTTTTTTTAATTGAAGAAAAGATGAAATTGCCTTGAGCAATTGACACTGGGCACACTGTGGTCTGCCCCTGTGTTCCAGAACTCGGCTGAGTGGTCCCGCCACAAGGGACAGTGTTCGATGGGATGCACATCTCTAAGAAAAGGAAATCAAGCGGGGCGCCTGGGTGGCTCAGTGGTTAAAGCCTCTGCCTTCGGCTCAGGTCATGATCCCAGGGTCCTGGGATCGAGCCTCACATCGGGCTCTCTGCTCGGCAGGGAGCCTGCCTCTTCCTCCTCTCTCTCTGCCTCTCTGCCTACTTGTGCTCTGTCAAATAAATGAAAATCTTAAAAAAAAAAAAAGGAAATCAAGCTTACGGTTTCAGAGAACTTTCCTCAGAAGTAACTCCAAAAGGAAGTAACCTGGAAAGTAATCCAACTAGCTCACAAGCGCGAGTGAAATTACTCTTCTGGGAAGTGACCGTGCTTGACAAACAGGTGCAAAGATATTTGTGGCCCAGAGAAGACCTGTCAGAGGAGGAACAGTGTGTCCGTGCTATTTTGGGGACAATGTCCCTGGCAGCCCAGAAAATGCCCAGTTAAGCTTTCTGCAAGATCTGCCTGTGGGCCAGAGCCTGAGGGAAGGCCACAGCGGGAACACCCAGTAGTCCGCACCAAGACCCAGCGGGACGGCCTTTGCAGCGGTGTGGACAGGTCAGCAGCATCACAGCAGGCAGGAAAACCAGACTCCAGGCACATGTGCCCTGTGTGGACCCGGAACTGAACCACCACAGGAAGAGACGGGAACTTGGGCTGGATATAGGATGACATCAAGGAATTCCTGACCATTTTTAAGTTAGAACGGATCGCAGTTACGTTCTCTTGCGGGGAGAGAAACACACTACTTGGTAGAGACGTAGTGAAGTATTTATAGATGAAAACACATGCTACCTGGGATTTGCTGTAAATACATGGGGGGTGGGGGAGCCCCGAGGCACGAAGACTGGCATGTACCCTCCTGCGCAGCCAGATAGAGCCTCACCCAACTATCCTATTTCTGCCCATGTCAAAATGTTCTCCAGGAAAAGCTAAAATAGGGTCAGAAACAGCTTCCCACCTTCCCACAAGTCCAGCTATTTCTGAGAAACCAGCCAGACAACAAAGGTCCGTTAAAAAGTATCTCATGTTCACCTCCTTGGTAGCAGAGTAAAGGGATCTTTTGCTTGAGCAAGAACTCACTCGTACGACTGGAAACACTCACGAAATGCTGTGGGACACCCAGACGGCAGGCGCCACAGAAATACAAGAAGGCTCGGCCCAAGCACAGACCTGACACGCGGCTCCAGTAAGCACACGGCTGTGTCCCCACACACAACAACGCGGCGGGAGGAGAGCATCGGCAACCACAGTCCGCAGAGGCAGAGCCGTAGCCCGTGAGACCCAGGAGAAAGGCGACAACCGGACTTCATCTTTCCAAGGTGAGAAGACAGCCGCCACCCATGTGCGGGGACCTCCACTCACCTGCAGGCACACGCGCGGGCCGCAGCTCAGCAGCGCGCCAGACCCAGGCCCGGGTGCGCCCGTCTCCCAGAGGACCGTCCCACGCAGCCTGCTCACGAGACTCACAGAGCCCGCCGGCCCCCCGCTGCTACCAAGGACCACAGCGACGGCGGAGCTGATGGCCACTGCGCCTGAGGGGCCTGGGGGACACCGCAGGGGCGAAGGGGGCAGTGCAGGGGTGAAGGGGGCACTGCGGGGACACGGAGATGGCTAAGGGGACACTGGAGGACACTATGGGGACACTGAGAGGGTTAAGGGGACATGGGGGGACACTGGGAGGATTAAGGGGACACTGAAGGACACAATGGGAACAATGAGAAGGCTAAAGGGACACTACGGGGGACACTAAGAAGATTAAGGGGACACTGGGGGGACACTGAGAGGGTTAAGGGGACACTTGGGGGACACTGAGAGGGTTAAGGGCACATGGCAGGTGACATGGAAAGGGCTTCATCCTCTCTTAGTGAAAGGTGAGTGGGAGCACAGTGTGAAGAGGAGACCATCCACGTGACCGCGTCACTGACCAGCTACATCCCTGGCTCCCAGCAGGGGTCCCACTGTGTCTCTCTAAGCCACCCTGAGGACACAGGCTTGTGTGCGTGCCTCCTCCGTCTTCTCCTCCCTCGGAGATGAGAAACCCACCCAGAGCGGCCAGAGTCAAGGCAACTTACGAATCCAAGTACCAAATCTCAAGAAAAATGCCAATTCCCAGACTTTTCAGCCAAACCAACGTGGGTAAACCTCATTTTTATGCCTCCCTTTTTGTAATCTCCCGTAACTCTCCTGCTGGCAGACGTTGTGGAGGAAACGGCTGAACCATTAACTTCTCCGACCAACCGATGGCCACACACAACTGCGCACACGAACCATCAACGCAGGAGACGCAGACAGCGCCAGGCCTTATTTCGTGGTTAGAGAAAAGGGACTGATGCGTCCTTTCTAAAAGCCCCACAGAAACACGGACAAAAATCTGTAACCTCAACAGAACGGGACACGACCGCTTCACAGAAACGCCCGGAGTGTGTGAAGCACGACGACGTGCGTCCTCAGCCCCCGGGCCCGGGAGAGGCGGGAAACACGAGCATTTCCCACCCGAAGACTCGGGGAGCTGAGCCAACACCCCCACCCACCATCCCGCCTGCATGCACAGGGAGCGCGGGGACACGAGCGCCCCTTCGCCGGGTCCCAGCCCACACACCCCTCCCCACGGCAGCCTCGTGTGTTCCAGAGAATTCCACCGCTTTGTAGACTTCTGCCAACGACCACGAGGCACGCGGACACTCCGGCCTCGTGGAAGAACCCGCGCAGGGAACTGGGGCGCACCGCCGTAGCGCACGTGTTCCGTGTGGACACGAGGCAGCAGCATCGCCACAGCAGCCGCCCCGCACGGTCCTCCCCTTCCTGCGGGGACGGCTCTTCCGCCTCAGCCCCCGCCGCCTCCGCAAGCCCAGCGCCGGCCGTCCCCCGGGCCGTCCCCCAGCCTCTCCACGACCCCAGAAGCACCATGGTCAGTCTTACCCCAGCACACCCTGTGGGGCACCGGGAACCTCCTGCGGGGGTCCTGGGCCTGCCTCTGCACCCTCCCATCCCAGCTTCCTGAGGGCCGCGGCCAACACTCGCCCCACGGGGCCCCATCACCGCCAGCCCTTCTTCCATCCCGCCGTCTAACGGATGCTGCTGGAACAGAGCTGTGCCTCTGCTGCTGCCTGCGAGGTCAGGCCCAGCCCTGCAAGGACACCACCCTCCAGGTTCACCCCCTGCGGATCCTGCCGACTCTCCTCCCCACCCTGACCTCCGAGGTCACACCAACACAGGTCGGCCGGGCCACAGGGGTGGCCCCTGAAGGCGTCTGCAAAGACGAGTGGGGTCGGCCCGGGGCACCGAGCCCTTCTCGCAGGCTCCCTGGAGGCCCGGCCGCTCCAGCCCCAGGACACAACGGAGAGCGCAGGCCGTGAGAGAACAGGGACAACGGGCACGACCCCTCACGCTCTGCTCCTGCTGGGCCCTGTGCAGGGCCCAGCCTAGACGTCCTGGACGGAAGAGGAGGGTCCGCGCCGGACAGGAGGGGACACACTGGTTGGGGAGGCGATCTGATAGGAACGGTGAGTGCATGAGGAGAAGCTCACAGCACAGAGCGGCCAGCACCCAACAGGTAACAAGGGACAGGACGGCGGAGACATGGTCTGCGCACCTGCAGCAAGAGCTTGTGCAGAGCTGTGCCCTGGACGAGAGAGAGCCGCCTAGGGTGCACGCGCGGGACCAACATGCAGAAGAGAGACTACGGAGGGAGCCGCCTTGCGCAGATGACTGTTGCCGGGCCGGACTGGGCACGCTGGGACACGTTCTCCCCCAGTACGCCGCCCCGGCCGCATCTCCATGCACCCGTCTGGCCACCGCGCACCCCCCATCCCTATCCGCCCACCGCGCGGCCACCTACGAGGTAGCCCCCCAGGCACAGCGGTGGCAGGAGGAGACACGCCCCGAGCCCGGCCTCACCTGCTGCGTGGCTAGCAGTTCGGGGTAGAGCAGCGTGACCCCGGAGGCCCCCGGATCTGCATCCATCTGCGCCGTCAGGCCGCCGTCCGCGGGCGGGAGCTCCTGGCCCTGCTCCCCAGTCAGCGCCGCGGGGCGAGAGGCGTCCTTGTGCTGCCGCTGCTTCCCCAGCTCTGTGCTCAGCTGCTCCAGAGCCCGGTGGTGCTGCTCCCGCAGGGCCTGCACCTCCGACCGGTGGCGCGACTCCAGAGAGTCCAGGTGGGACAAGTGTCTGGCCTCCAGAGCCCGGAGCGCGGCCACGTGCCCGGCCTGCAGCTCGGCCTCTCGGGCCTGTGCCAGGGCCCGCTGCTCCCCCTCCACGGAGGCTCTCAGCTCCTCCTGCTCCGAGCGGCGCACGGCTTCCAGCTCGGCCGTCAGGGACAGCACGTGCTGCTGGTGTCTCTCCTGGAGCAGCCGGAGCTCGCGGCTGTGCTTCTCCTGGGTCTCCCGAAGGAGCGCGTCTTGCTCGGCTGCGAACTTCTCCGTGATCTCCTTCCGTTCCTTCAGGAACCTGTGAGGACCCACAGCGTGAACACGGGCCGCGGAAGGACCATCGTACAAGCACCCCCGCCCCTTCCCACACGAAACATGACGTCACTGCCGTGTTGGACTGTCCCGGATCCTTTTCCCTCTGCCATCCACAGCAAGTAAGCGGGAGGGAAGGGGCCACACAAAGCCAGAGGAGCTCAAAGGACAAGGCGCTCACGAACTCAAGTGGGGATGCGGGACCCACAGCAAGACACCGCATCCGCGCCAAAGCAGACGCACCAGCCCACATGCGGTGAGAAGGACCACGATGGGGAAGGGGCAGCGGGGTCCCCTGCAGGAGCCCACAGGGCCATAAAGAACACTCAGAAGACCTCAGGAGAACTGGTGAATTAAGGGACACGAATGAGAAAGAGCCGCAGGTGGTGCTGGCTGGCAGAGACACAGGCCAGCAGACTCCCCCAGAGCCGAGGCACCCAGGACCCCACCAGGGACGGGAAGAAGCCTCAGCGTCAACTGGGCACATGCTACACGGGCGTGACTTGCCGAGGTCCGCTCCCGCGAGGAGTGGCAAGACCCGGGTTACTGCTCTGCTTGGGCCGGCCCGCCACCAGAGGACTCTGGAAGCGTTCCCACACTTCTCCCACGCACCCTCTCCACCTGGGGCGAGCAGGAAGCGCTTGTGAGGCTGAGCACAGCGCCTGCGTCCACCCAGCTTGCACATGCTGGGCCGAAGTCTGAACTCGAGTCCTCAGACCCCAGACCCAAAGCTCCTGCACTCCAGTCACGATGGCGGGAGCTGCGGACCCGGGAGAATAAGCAGCCCAAAGGCGAGTCCGATGGCCCCAAGGCTCACCATCACCCCCAGGCACGAAAGCTCAGGTTTGCAGACTTGGTATGAACAGAGGCAAAGAACCAAACTACATTCTCAATCTATTTTCAAGGAAATACGTGCAAGTTTTAGGAGGAAAACACTTACTTTTAAAAACATCTGTCTGAAGTTTAAAAATACAAAGAACTAATACGGACGAACTGTATGCCTTTTGGTAAGCGAGGTCTAAATTCTTGCTTTTGAAATTTTTAAATGTGGAAAGAACAAAAATGACGTGGAAGACGTGTGCACAGTAGCGTCCACCAAGGGACACAGACTCCACCAGGAGCATCCGGACACGGTCTCTGGCTGGTTCCCGCACCTCCCAGTGTTGGGCACGCTGGGACACGTTCTCCCCCAGTACACCGCCTTCAGGGTGAAGACTAGGCATCCAGGACTCCGTGCACACCGCGCTCGGCCCTGCCTTCCAGCAGACCTTCCCCCCCTGCTGAAAGCCCACAGCACATCACCCAGGGGACCTGCCTCCCACGCTGTGCGGCACGTGCCGGGGTCAGGCCTCAGGTGGGAAAGCGGCAGGCAGCTCTACAGCTAACACCCTCTGCTCCGAGAGCGTCACCCACCTGTTCCGTGCCTGCATCAGCTGGAGGGCGCAGTCCTCCTTCAGGCGGAGCGTGGCGAGCTCCCCGCCCTGGTCTGCGGGAGCCGGACGGCCACCTGGCTCCCGGCCACACTGCGGACACTCCTCCCCCGTGAGGCCGAGCTCCAGCTGCCGTAGGCGGCCCTGCTGCTCCACCAGGGACCCCTCCAGGTCCCGGATCTGGGCGGCCTGCTGATCCTGAAGCTGCCTCATTTCGAGCTCCCGCAGCTCAAACCTGGTCATCAGGGACTGCCTCTCGGCTTCGGCTTGCTCCCGCAGGTGCAGCAGCGCCAGCGCGAGCTCCTCTTCGGCTTTTCTCTTTAGGATTTCACTTGCCACTTTCCATCCTGCTTCTTTGTCTCTGGATTCCCGCTTCATCAGCTCCAGTTTCTCCTTCGCCTTCTTCAGCTCCTCCTGGAGATCTTCAACCAAGTCACGTTTTACCTACAGGGAGCAAACCTCAGGTAAGACAGAAAAGAACTTTTTAAAGGAGAAGATTACTGGCAGTAACGACACCAAAGCCGGCTGTCCTTCCCTCCGGAGCCGGCAGGCCTGGACGAAACTAACGGAGGTCAACGCGCACGCGCACGCGCACAGCAAACCAAGGTAGCGTCAGAGGCCTTCGTCGTGTGCCAGGACCGGCGGCGGCGGCAGGCACGTCCCAGGGCTTCCGCCAGGGGAGGCCGACCACCCCAGACAGAGCAGAGACAGAGCAGAGCCGCCCTCAGCAAAAAGACCAGAAGTCCCTGAGAAGAGCAAATGCTGCAACGAGCCCAAGTGTGTGGCCCTGCCGCATCTGTGTTCCATGATCTCCACAGAACCTGGTCAGAAGACTGATGGACTAAAATTTAAACTTTTAAGAGTATCTTGTGAAAAGGGAGGTGAATCACGAAGCTGACAGTAGGCAAACATTTCCATGTTCAGAAAAGGAAGGAAAGGAGGTCAATGAACGACAAAACATCATCAGAAAGAAACAAAAGTAAAACCGGTATTGAAGACTGACCTCAGCTCCTTATTTAAAAGTTAAGTTATGGGGAGCCTGGGGGGCTCAGTGGGTTGAGCCTCTGCCTTCGGCTCAGGTCACGATCTCAGGGTCCTGGGATCGAGCCCCGCGTCGGGCTCTCTGCTCAGTGGGGAGCCTGCTTCCCCCTCCCCCTCTGCCTGCCTCTCTGCCTGCTTGTGATCTGTGTCAAATAAATAGATAAAATCTTTAAAAAATAAATAAATAGATAAATAAATAAATAAAAGTTATTAAAGCAGCACCTGGCTGGCTGTTAGTTGAGCATGCAGCTCCTGATCTCAGGGTCATGAGTTCAAGCCCCACGCTGGGTATACAGTTTGCTTTAAAAAAAAATTTAATAAAAGTTTAGGGTCATGCTTCTGGAGATGGCGGAGAAGCTCTAACCAGGCTTACCCTCCCAGAGGGTAACAGCTGTAAAGGCTAGAAAAAACATAGGAAACTACCCAAAGGCCTGAGAGAGCATCTGTAAGCAGAGAGACTGTGCAGAAGGCTGGACACCCAGAAGAAAGAAATGGCACTGGGCAATTTCCCCGTCTGTGCCGTGCACACAGAAATCCCACAATCCTATTTGTGTGAACAGAGGAGGTAGAAAGTGAGAGGTGCCCATTAGGACAGAGCCAGAGAGACAGACGGCTCAAAATGTCTGCATTACCCCTTGCCCGCATCTCAGGCTGACTCCGATGCGCACACGTGTGGGCAGACGCCAAGAGCAGAGCAACACAGGGAAGAGTGCACCCAGTCAGCTCCCTGCTAAAATGAAAACCTCACACCCTTCAGCAGAGTGTAACAGAATCCAGAGTCTCCACAATGTCTCCCTCACGACGTCCAGAAAACAATCCAAAGTTAGTTGATACACAAATAAGCAGGAAATAGGACCCAGGCTAAAAAAAAAATGCAATCACTGGAGAACCCCAAATGACACGAATGTTGAATGGCAGACAATGATTTTAAAAGCAGATATCCTAACTGCGTGTATGGGCGTAAGAAAAACATGCTCATGACGAATAAAAGAAGAGCAAATCATGGCAAAGAAGAAAGATCCTCTTAAGAAGTGGATGAGGAAAAAGAAACAATCGAACGGAAATCCCAGAACTAGAAAGCATAGTATCGGAAATTTTAAAAATCACTGGATGGACTTAAAAGCATATCAGACCTAGCAAGAGACCACGAACCGGAGACCAACAGAATCGAACCAACAGGAAGGGAGCAGACTAGACAGAAATCAAACAAACAGAACCTCAGACACTGAAAGACCGAACATCCACGTGAACGGAGTCCAAGAAGAAGGAGAGAACGGAGCAGAAATAAGAAACTGAAAAACATTCTTGGTAAAAATTTCTCAAATTTGGGAAAACACATAAACATACAGCAGAATACTCTGTAAGTCACTAAAACAGGCCACCTTTTCAGTAGTGCCATTATTAAATGTAAGAAGAAATAAGGTCAATTGAGTATAAGGTTTTGTTTTCATTTTTTTAGGTAACTATGTCAGAACCAATTTTATGTACCGATTTTAAGAATTTCATGAGAGGAAAAAACATCCAAGAAAATCACACGTAGGCACACCATGGTAGAGCGACGGAGAATAGGGGCGCCTGGGGGGCTCAGGGGGTTGAGCCTCTGCCTCTGGCTCAGGTCATGGTCTCAGGGTCCTGGGATCGAGTCCCACATCGGGCTCTCTGCTCAGCGGGGAGCCTGCTTCCTCCTCTCTCTCTCTCTGCCTCTCTGCCTACTTGTGATCTCTGTCTGTCAAATGAGTAAATAAAATCTTCAAAAAAAAAAAATGAGAATAAAAGATAAAGAGAAAAACAAGCAGAAAAGAAAATGACACATGACATTCAGGGTAAGACTGATTTCAGTGATCACGGACTCATCAGAAATAAGGTCATAAGTGAACATCTTTAAATCCTGAACAAAAACCTTGCCTTCTATACGTAGCAAAAAAATTTCTTCACGAAAGACGGTAAAATAGAGACTCTCAGGTCAAAGAAAACTTGCGAAGAAAACAGGCGCAACATGGAAGGCTGAAGGAAAGTGAGGCCAAAGGGAAACTCCTATCTTCCGGAGGAAAGAAAGAGCGCTTCAGTGTTGTGAATCCAAGACCACTTTCCCTTTTAATTAATCAAGGACCCATGATTGTTCAAAGCAAAACTTCTATTGTGGAATCTAACCACCAAGACAGACGTGACACCCGTCAGCGTGGTAGCACAGAAGACAGCAGACGACAGACGTAGTTGGAGCTCACCTTCTAGCCGCACGGCGACCGTGTACCTCTGAGAAGACTGTGAGAACGAGTCTAGCCCCGAAAGCAATCATTAAACACATGACGCAAAGAAATAGGACTTAGAAATCAACAGATACATTAAAATCAATTCTAAAAATTAATCCAATTCAATTAATTAATCCAATCCAATTAATCAATCCAATTAACTAATCCAATTCTAAAAATAATACAAATAAATACAAAATAATCCAAATAAATCCAAATAATCCAAGTAAATAAATACTCAAATAATCTGAAAGGCAAGAAAGAAAGAACACGGGGAACAAAAAGAGAAACACGCACACACAGAAGAGAGTACAACGTAGACACTGCTCCAACCAGGCCAACAACGAAACGAAACGTGACAAACTAAACACTCCAATTGAAAGGCAGGATTTGTCAAAAAGGATTTTAAAAATATTCCACTGCAGGGGCTCCTGGGTGGCTCCGTCGGTCAACCATTCGCCTTCAGCTCAGGTCATGGTCTTGGGGTCCTGGGGTCGAGCTAGGGGTGGGCCCCCTGCTCAGCAGGGAGTCTGCTTCTCCCTCTCCCTCTGCTCTTCCTCACCTCCCCGACTTGCACTCTCTTTCTCTCTCAAATAAATAAAATCTTAAAAAAGATATTCAACTATATGAACGCACACGTGTAACATGTTAAAAAGTATGTGGTCTCTGTCCCTTGTTCCTGACACACAGCTGCTAAAACCCTTGGAATTTCTGGCACCATAAGTGTCTTTTGTATGCTAATGAGATGACAAGTGGCTGAGGACCTCTGGGTGGAAGCTGGTCCCCAGAAAATCAAGGCGAGATCAGAGGGTTGGAAATCCCAGCTCCACCGCGGCCTCTGAAGCAGAGAGATGGAGACGGAGTTCAATCACCAACGGCCAGTGATTCAGACACGCCTGTGTTACGGAGCTTCCGTAAAAACTCCCAAACGGTGGGTCTCGGAGAGCTGCCAGGCGGGTGCACACGCTGGGGGCTGAACGGTGGCAGGACAGGAGTGGGCGCGGAAGCTGCCTACCACGGGCCCCTCGCCCCACGCCTCTCTTCCCTTTGGTCGCTCTCGTTCGCCTCTGTCCTAAGACACTGGTATTAGGACACTGTTTCCCTGAGCTACTGAGCCTGAAAGGGCTGTGATGGGCGGGGGACGATCCAGACCCCGAAGCCGAGTCAGACCGAGATCCGTGGGTAACCTGGGGACCCAGTAACTGCCAACGGCTCCTGACGTGGAGGCCATGTCCCGGGACTGAGTCCTCAACCCGCAGGTGCCCGGCACTAAGTCCAGGTGGTCTCCGGAGACTCCAAGCGAAACGGACAGAAAAGGGTCCGCCGTGCCAACGGAACGTGCGCGAAGGCTGGAACGCGGCACTGATGAACGGGAAGGCAGGCTGCGGCTCAAACAATGCTATGGAGTGAAGCGTGACGTGGGGCGACACTTAGCTCGCCGAACACTTAGGACGCTGGCGAAAAAGACTCCGCTCTAACAACTCCGACCCAAAGACGAGCCACTCCCCGCGCGGCGTATACAGTGAAATGTGCCAGGAGTCGGGGGAGGCCTACACGCCAGACCTCTGCCCGCAGGGGTGGTGCGCAGGCTCTCCTCGCGCCCACGGAACACCCCACAGCCACACAACCGACAGCAGAAGAGCCCAGGAGCCCAATACCACTGGGGACCGCAAGGCGCACGGGGCCTGCCGCTGGCCATGCCAACCAGCCTGCCGCCCGTCTGAGGACGTCCAGCCAGTCCCTGACCCTGGAGGCAGGGGGAAGGAGCAACAAGGAGCCAGACCCTGACTCGGCTCGAGTGGGGCCCTGTCCTGACCCCACTTCTGCACTAGGTCAACCGGGCCGCAGGCAGCAGGAAGACGGAGCGCGGGGACCGGCGGGGCCCTCGCAGGAGTCTGCCGCCACGGGAGCCAGAACCACACTTACCCTCTCCAGGTCCTCCTTCAGGCTGATCGCGTGCTGCAACTTCTCGTGCAAATTTCTGTTTTCTAGTTTCAAGACATCAATTTCTTCCTTGAGCTCCGTCTGAAGAAGTGAGAGTTTAAGCTTGTGCTCAGTTTCCAAACCCAAGACTCTGGCTGCCACCTCGGTCTCCACCTGCGAGGCCACGTCCTGCACACACGGGAGAGGCGCCCGAGCGAGCTCTGTGAGAGCACAAGAAGCAGGGAGGACAGTCAGCACGCACCTCGAGGGCACCACACACAGCACGGACGACAACGCCTCGCACGACAGACACCTGGAGCTCTGCCAAGCCCTGGGGAGCCCAGGCAGAAGCGCCCTGGGCTGCCCCGTCCTGAGCTGCCCGTACCCCTTCAGGGCCCACTCTGTCCCACCAGCTGGGGTATCAGGGGGCTGTTTTCAGCTGTGGGGAGCTAGGCTGGGGGGACCCCTCCCGGGACGATCAGCTCAGGACTCGTCACCTCCCTGGGCTCAAGAATGAGCTGAGCAGCGGCCAGAAGTGCACCGTGCGCGCCCGTCAGCAGCCAGTGACCACGGCATGTGCAGCGGCGGAGAACAAGCTCCCTCGCTGGGAGGAGAGCAAGAGGCAGAAGCCAAGTCAACGTGACCTTGGCACTCACGAGCCATTGTCCTTCTCTTAGCCCGTCTCAGCAGCTCCAAGGGAGCCCTTGTCCAGAGCAGGAAGTCGTGTCAGAGCCCCCCACCATGGAGCCAGACCCCCACACCCTTGCCCTGGGACCCTCCACCTCGCCGCCCCGCGCTATGAGGCGTGGCAACAGCGCCACCCCTCCTGGAATCCGTGTCCAGGGCTGCCCTCGCACCGGCTCCCCTCAGCAGTGGGGCCCCTGCCTGTCCCCCTCTGCTGCATCTGCTGGGAGGACCTCCGCCTCTCATCCACCCCATCTCCTGTGACCCCCCAGTGCTGCACCTGGTCAGGCCTGAGCCCAGCTCTGAGCTCTGAGGACACCACCAGGGAGGGTCTGTGGAGTGAGAGGCCGGGATGTCAGATAACCCACATGGTGAACCCCCCACAGGTTCACACACCTTCGCTGGGCCCTTCTGAGAGCCCCACATGTTGCTCCCCTTCCAACACCGGGGTCCCTTCGAGGCCCACCTCCTGCCGGGCTTCCAGGGAGGACGGGCTCCGGTGGTTTTCTTCTAACTGCGTGTACAAATGCAGGGAAAATCACACACAGGAAATGTTACAAGGGGTCTCTTTAGCCCGTCACCCAATCACTGCCTCCCCCGGAACCCTCGCGGGGCCATGCACGCTCACGCCGTCTCCCCCATCCCCAGCGTGTCACCTCCGGGGATCCAAGCAACTCCAGGAGGCGGCAGACCACAGCCCTGAGGAGACAGGGGCACACCACCGGCTGGAGAGCCCTCCTCACTCCCGTGCTGTCCTCATCGAGGCCAACATGGGGCCCCAGCTGAGGGACGCCAAGCAGGCCGCCGCCACGAGTCTGACCAGAACATTCACGGACATGAACCGCCGGCAGACCCTGACCACCAGACCCCCTCCTCCCAGAGCCAAGGCCTCGGCCAAACACACCCTGCTCCACTGCGGGGCCCCAGCACACTCACTCCCAAGCCCCCTCACTCCCCACTCCGTGTCTCCCCAGTGCACTTCCCCTTCTGGAGGCAGACACATGCCTGGCCAGCTTGGGACATGGACCTGCCCCCAAGAGGAAGGGGCCCCCAAGGGAAGGGTGTCTGGGCACTGCTAAGAGCACCTGACAACAAGCCCAGTACCCTGAGGGAAGGGAGGCAGGAAACAAGGAAAGGGCTCAGTGCACGTGCTAAACTCTCCTATTCCCCTTAAAATACAGCCGGTAACCCCGTTTTCCTCAAGTACCATGGAGCAGTCACACCGACCTCAACTTCCAGCTCACGATAAGGTCGCGTTATCTTTTAAAGCAAGACTCGAATCCCTGCGCTCTTACACAAACGAACCACTTGAGTGACAGGAGGAATCGAGTCCAGAAGCGCACTTGTGCCCCGGGGATAGCTGAGCGCACAGGCCTGAGAGAGTGACCCGCCGTTCGGAAAGAGGTGACAAGCTCAGAGCCTACCTCTCTGGCTGGACAATGACCAGGCTCCGGGGGGACAACGAAAACTCAAAGACTTTAAAATTAAATTAAAATCAGAAAAGGGGCATCTGGGTGGCTCCGTGGGTGAAGCGTCTGCCTCCGGCTCAGGTCATGATCCCAGGGGCCTGGGATCGAGTCCCACGCTGGGCTCTCTGCTCCGCAGGGGCCTGCTTCCCCCTCTACCCCTGCTTGTGTTCCCTCTCTCTCGCTGCCTCACTCTCTCTCAAATAAAATCTCTAAAAACAAGTAAGTGAGGGGCGCCTGGGTGGCTCAGTGGGTTAAAGCCTCTGCCTTCGGCTCGGGTCGTGATCTCAGGGTCCTGGGATCGAGTCCTGCATCGGGCTCTCTGCTTGGCGGGGATCCTGCTTCCTCCTCTCTCTCTCTCTGCCTGCCTCTCTGCCTGTTTGGTCTCTCTCTGTCAAATAAATAAATAAAATCTTTAAAAAAAAAAAAAAGTAAGTGAAATGAGAGAACAAAGTGAAAGCGTCAGAAGGCAACGCAGGAAACGGTGGGCACTCAGAAAGGGGACAAAGAGCAAAGGGCCAGGGGAGGACCCACAACCGCAGACCCAGGCCCGTGAGCACCAGCGCGAAAAGGGCCACAACCAAGTCCAAAGGCGAGCGGGGCAGGCCCTCCGAACCGCAGGGGACGGGGGACGAACGCCAGGAGAGCCACGGTGTGCAGGAAGAGCTTCCAGGGGGAGAACGGTCAACTTCAAGTGAAAACAGGTTTGACCTCGTAGGAAACCACAGAAAAACTGCAGACACACCGGCTGTCCCTCGGCGAGGAGCACACACGGGCGACTTCCAGCGGCGGCGGGGGGCCCTGGGCTCCCACACCCCCTGGGGGAGTTCCACCAGACGCCCTGAGGAGGGCATGGCGGCCTGTCAACACTTCCACACGCGTGCGCGCGCGTGCAAACAGGTGTGCGCACACACCGCACTTCCCGCAAACACACACGTCCCATCACTCTCCTTTCCCTGCCTTCCTGAAACGTCACGAGAGGCAACAGGAAGAGGTTCAAGACATCAAGGCTGGCCAACCTGGGAAGACAAAACTCAGTGCTCACAGCACCGTCCGGGGCTCAGGGGCAGAGGGGCTGTGCACACGCAGGACCTGTGGGCCGAGGCTGGCTGTCGGGGGGCCGGGGACCCGGCCATCTAAGGCTGGACCAGAGGGAGCTCTGCCACTGGTCTACCTGACACCAGGGGTGCCTCACAAGCCCCGGACCAAAAACCAACACAGGGGACCCCGACACCCACACAGAGGGACAGACGGATGGAAAGCAGGACACACGGGAAGCACGAGAAACCTTTAGCACCGAGGGCCTCCAGAGAGGTGTGTGTGAACACTGCGCCCGTGGCACACAGAGGCAGCAAGAAAGCAGAGCCCCCAGAAATCAGAAACGACGATGGACACGAGACGTTTGCTGCAGAATGAGAACAGCTCGCGCGCCACCAGGAGAGCGCGCAGGGCACGCTGAGGATTGCAGACGGGACCGGCCTCCTGGCCGCGGAGGCACAGTCGGACGCGAGGCCCTCCCGCACGGCCAGCGCGAGCGGTGGACGCACATGCCGGAGCTGCTCCCGGAAAGCTCCAGGCGGCTCACAGGGGCCCCGGGGCCCCGGGGCCGCGGGCAGCGTGGCGGCTCACACAGAAGGGAGGGTCCGTGGGACGGAGGGACGGCGACTCTCCATGGCGCAGCGCGAGAGGACACCCACGCATGCCAGACATTGCACACGCCAAACACGCACGAACGAAACAAGCTCTCAGAGGGCTCCCCTCACGCACCCCTGCATCTCCACCGGGGGAACAGGCGCAGCCAACAGCGGGGCCACGTGCGGACACACCTGCCCCCCGGGCAGCAGGGACCATCCGACCAGAATGCAGGGTGACCCCAGGACGACAGCAGGCGGGGGCCCAGAGGGCAGGACAGGGCCATGGACCAGGACCCGGAGGCTCTGCCGTGGCGGCCACACCACGCCCAGCGGGACACACGGGAAAGGAAGTGGAAGGGAGGGAACCACCGCCACACCGTGCTCCCGTCCCCAGGAAGTCATCGCAGGCAAAGAGACAGTTAACAACGGGAAACCGGAAGCGGCCAGTTGCACAGGACCAACTGTGACCCCAAAATTCACATGTCGAAGTCTGAACCTCCAATGCCTCAGAATGGGGCCATGTGGAGACCGGGACACACCACAAACCTCCTGACCACGGAGCCTGAGGGCGGCCGACCACAAGCCAAGGACACGGGGCTCAAGAGAACAGCCCCGAGCTCCCGCTCCCAGCCTCCAGATGATGCGTCTCTGAAAGGACACATCTCTGCCCTGTAACCGTCCGGTCTGAGGTACACTCGTGACGGCTGCCCGGGGTGACTGCGAACCACCGATGCGGACGCTTGTCCTCATGGGGCCTCCATCATCCCGCATGCCACCTGCCCGGGGTGACAGCCACGAGACCCGGGCCACCGACACCCCACGCATCACCATAAGTAAAGGGACACTCAGGAGACAGGACACCACATCTCAAGTGCACACAGCCCAGGCGTCCGCGGCCTGACGGTTGGACTGAGTGGATGCGGCGCACACGACCGAACATTCCTCAGCCACGAAGAAGAACGAGCCATTCGTGACAACGTGGACGCACCCCGAGGGGAGAAGCGGAATAAGTCGGAGAGAAACACGCGCCCCGTGACGTCACTGCCCCGTGCGATGCTAACCGAGCTGACGGATACAGAGCGGAGGCACCAGAGGCGGGGGTGGGCGTGGGCAGAACGGGAGGGAGGGTCAGAGGCCACGAGCCTCCAGTCACAGAACAGAGTCTGGGGGTGCAGCGCTCGGTGACCAGAGACAAAGCTGTACTGGACACGCGGGAGCGGCTAAGACGGTAGATCCTAAAAGTCCTCGTCACAAGAAGAAAGTCTGGAGCCCTGGGGTTGACAGGCGTTAAGGAGACCGAGGGGCAGTCACCGGCAACACCCGCCAACACCAGCACCTCGTGCTCCTGAAACGAGCGCTCCGCGTCCGCTCCCTCAATGCAGGGAAGAGGGGCCGTCACCTCCGGCTGAAGGCGGGGTCCCTCGAGGTGCTCGCTCCCTTCTCCAGTCCTCTCTTCTAGAAACACCCTGGGTGCACTAGGAGAGAAGACATGTTTTAAAACCTCCTCGTACGCCCTTTCCCTCCCTGTTCCCTCCACAGCGACCCCCCCAGACCCCGGTCAAGGACGGGAGCCCTGGGCCGAGCGGGCCGTGGCTGTGGGACCGCCTGGCGGGACCCCGTGCTGGAGCAGAGGGGACCCCGGAGCTGCAGGTCCCATGCGGCTCCTCGTCTGAACCCTCTCCTGCTCGAGGCTCAAGCAGCAGCTGTTTCTAAAGCGCGAGGCTCCCAGTCTCCATGGGCAGGAAACCACAAATAAAACCAGACCCCGACCAGCTCAAAGGTCCCGTATTTTGAGAACACACCGAAGACGAAAGGCCCCGTGCACCTGACTTGCGCAGACTCGAGAACAGACTCCTCTCGCTGCTGCCGCCACCACGGGTCCTGCCTCCGGTGCTCTCGCTCCTCCCCGTGAGGCGTGCGGGCCGGGAGCTGGTCGTGGAACGCTTCAAGGGGAAGGAATTCCGCAGTCACTTCCAGGCCAGACACGGAGGACACATCAGGACACACTGCAGACCTCAGCTCTGGGAAGGCCCCGGTCCCGGTCCCCGTGAAGGCGCAGCGGGACCCTCGGCGGCTTACGCTGGGCAGTGCCTCCACGGGGAGCTGGCCGGGGCGACCTCAGCGGAGCCTGTGGGCCCCCGGAAGCAGAGCACTTCTCAGGCTGGCGCTGCGGGCATCACAGAGACCAGAAATGCCAGCGGGTCTCCACGGGCGGCTGGGGCCGCAGAGCAGGGATGTGGGCGGTCCCCAGGGCCTGAGAGCCCCGGCCGACGGCCAGCAAGGACACAAGACCTCAGCCCCCCCACCACAGGGACTCATCCTGCCCCAGCCACCGTGAGCCACGCTGGGCCCCGCCAGAACCTTGATTCCGGCCGCGGGTGACCCTGGACAGAAAATCCCGTCACGCCACCCACTTGGACCTGCGCAGCACCAGCCACTACGGAGTGTGCGGCTCCCAGCCCTGCGTCTGTGGCGTTTCGCTAGGAGCAGGAGAACCGGATCGGACGCCAACCATGAGAAAATGTATTGGAATCGCCGTTTCCAGCAAGAGGATGCGTCCAGCCGCTTAACAGTACCGTGGACGGGAACTGGTCACTACCCGGAAGTTTCAAGACAAACATCCCAGGAAGGACCCTGGAGGCCAGCGCGAGGCTCTCCACGGGCCGGGGAGAGCCGAGCGCAGGAGCTCACGCAGCGGCGTCCGCAGAGCCAGGAGCCACACTCCCGCCATGGACAGGCTTGAGGCAAAGACCAGGCGTGAGCGGATGGGCGTGGCCTCGCCCACCACACGGGCTCTGGCCCTTCCTCCCAGCCCTGCTCTGGGCCCCCAGTGACGTGTGCCCGGCAAGGCTGACCCCCAGACTGCAGAGGCTCCCCGTGGAGAGCAGCAGGAGGAACACACGAGTCCGCCTGTCTTGCCCGCGTCCCCCGACATCCCCGCTGGAGGCACGGCCCGCAAGCAGGGACCCCTCTCAGAGGGTCCACAGGAGGAGCCGGGTGAGCCGTTGGGCCTGGCCGACGTGGGCAACCCCCTCGGGGCCACAGGAGCCCGAGAGCACCTGCCCCAGGCAAGCTCAGGGGTGCAGGGGCACGGCGGGATGAGGAGCACCGGCACCCAGCCCATATGGCTTCTCGGTGAGCGCCAGCCGGGCTGTAAGCCTCGCCGGCCCCCCTCCCGGCCCCCCTCCACAGATGCCTCCCGGCAGGTGAGCAACATCGCGACGCTGCCGCCCCGGCTCCCTGGTGAAGCCAAGGCCCTCGGGTTTGCGCCTGAAAACCACACGACGACCTCCAGCAGCTCGCAAAGCCGCTCTCCGTGCTACAACTGTCACGGCCCCGTGGAAACACCGCGTTAGCTTCCACGGATCTGAGCTCTGAACCGCAAATGCCTCACCGCTCGGGTCCTGACCGTCGGGTCCCGGAGACTCGAGCTGGGACCACAGGCGCCGGATCTCTTCCTGCGACTGGGCCTTCAGCGCGGCGTACGATGCTCGGAGGCTCTCTAACTGCAACAGGAAGGCTGCAGCGTGAGACGCCGCCCGAGACCAAGCCCAGACGGTCTGTGCCCAGCTCCGGGGCTCGCGCGGTGAGACCCGGGCCGGCAGCCAAGAGTGAACCAGCCATAGCGGCCGCGCACGGCTCGCTCCTCACGCGCCTTTCCCCGCTCGCTGCCTGGCCTTCCCCTCGCTGAGTGAGGACGGAAACTTTCTCTGTTGTCCTAGACACACGTCCTTCTAACTTGCCGGGGCAGGGAGGGCCAGGCTCCTGCCCACGCTGCTGGTCAGCACCAGCCTCCCGGGGGTCCCTCCCTCCTCCTCCTGGGGCACGGTGGAGTGTTCTCTGCATTTTTCGGTTACCCCCCACCCCGGGAAGGGTCTCTTCAGGGTGAACAGAGCCAGCCAAACCTGCGCCCATGGAACTGAGAGCAGCTACCACTACCTTCACGGGGGGCTTGGGGTCAGGCTGCACGTGGTCCCAAGGCACCAAGTGGTGGGTACAAGTGCAGGGCTCAGCGCTGAAGGACAAGCCCTGCCAGAGGGGACACAGGACATGGGAGCTCCGGCCTGCAGGGCCCCTGAGGTTGGCCTGCTGCCTTGCGGGTGGCCCCATGCAGGGACAGGACAGAAGGTGCCCTTCCATGTTCCTTTCCCATCAGCAAGGGAGAATGAGCATGGGGTGATGGGGCAAGGAAGCCGGGAGTGGGTGTGGACACCACGGGGACAGAAGCACAAGGTCCTCCTGGGTTCTCTTCTGAAATCCGGGCACAGGCCAACACGGACTCCCTCTCTCTGATTTCTCGGCCTGATGCTGGGGCACTGATGGCCCTCGGGACAGAAGCCCTCGGGTGTCTGGGTAAGATCTGACCACACCACCCACTGTGGGAATGTGACGTCTCGCTGGAAGAGTTCTGAACACACGAGCAGCAGAAGTGTTTCTGACTCAGTCTCTTTGAGACTTCGTGTTTCTTTAGGGTCACAATCAGAGAACCTGGCCTTAGACCCGTAATGCCTGGAGTCTGGGTCCCAGGGACTCTGGTAAAGAACACCAACTCTGCGTGTGTACGATGCAGCATAACTCACGCCAGCTCCACACACTGTCCTCACTTCTCCATCTACTAGAAACCAACGGGCTCTAAATCCACTACTTAAGTTTGAGCTAACACCAGAACGTGAAACGATCCCACCCAGAATCTTCTAAAGCCTCCCCTCCCTGCCGAGCGGCTGACACACACACACACGTCCCTGCCCACCTCGAGCTGCTTGGCCACCTCCTGGTCGCGGAGCCTCTGCTCCAAGTCCCGCACGCGCCGACCGCTCTCGGACTGCAGGTCCTCACGCAGCTGCCTCAGGGCCGTGTCCTGCTGGGTCTCCAGAGTCCTCAGCGCACCTGGGCACACACCTCCCTGAGCACGTGGCCTTCCCGACCACGTGGGAGCACAGCTCCTTCCAGACCCCACGGTCCCAGCACTCTGCTCTCCTGGGGAGCAACCCGGACAGCCACCACCTCCTCACCATGATGGCACCATGTGATGGGCGACAAGAATAGAACGTGAACAACAGCGGCGTTGCTTTCTTAACAACCATCACAGAACGTGGACAAACACTTCTGAAACCGAGGTTTCAGGGGAGGTCAGGGAGCCAGAGAAGCCTGTGCTCACTGAGGGGAGAGCCCAAGGCTGAGCCTGAGCCGCCCAGCAGACCCACTCCTGTCTCCATCGCTGTGGGTGACGTGCAGCCAGCACCCCCGGCAAGGAAATGCACGTGCTCGTCCCCAGCAAGGGCCTGGCTCCGCACGGGACTGTCCTCCTAGCAACACGCACGCTCGCGCACGCGTCCCCTCTTCAAACCTGACTGTTCGAACTTGAAACTCACGTTCAGCCTGGTTTTTGGCTTGAAAAATCTTCTCCGACTCCGCTTTCTGTTGTGCCAGTTCGTTCTCAAGCTGGTCTTGCAAACTCTCCAACTCCAACCGATGCTTTGCAGACAATTCTCTGCGCAGGTTTTCTAAGCATAACTCTCTCTCGGCTTCCCATTCTCGCTTCAGGTTCTAATTCAAGTAAGGAAAAAAGAAAACTATGGGCCAACGGTGGACGATCTGTGGTAAAAAATTTAAACTGCACTCGAAACCCAGGTGTGGACAGTCACTACACCCGGACCAGACTGTCACTACAGGAAGCTGGATGGCCCCCACCACCCACGGGGACAGGAGCAGAGACAGCAAGGGACACCTGCCCGGAAACGAAGCGAGGACAGAGGTCATGCTCAGTAACTCTCTCACACACACACACGTCCTCCACAAAAGACCCAAGATGCTACAGTGATGTCACCTGACCTCTGCCAAGGGCTGACTTTGTCCCAGATGCCCTAAGAAATGAGTCCCTGCTGTCCGGCACAGAGGGGTGGGAGCTGGGGCACAAGCCTCCCGCCTGGGACTAACAGCTGTCCTCCACCAACTACCTGATCAGAACAGCTAGGACACAAACGCCCACGTGCCCAGTGTCAGACACGCGTCCCCTAATGTCACCAACGTCCCCCAACACCAGCCACTTCCTCTGCTGTCACTGGCACCAACAGCCCTTCCACAAATGCGGCCCCGAGAAAGGGACACATGGCCAGGATGGAACGTTCCAGGAAGGGGCTTCTTCAGAGAGGCGCTAACTCCGTCCCACCCTAACACAGAACTCTTTCTCCAGGAGGGATGTGGGGGAGTCAGCGGGACCACCGCAGAATGCACAGTCAGCACAGCACATGGGGTCAGCTGAGGCATCGGCCGCACAGCGGCTCTGCCCCACCCCTGGGACCGGCACCCCACGTTTTACTCAGTTGCCACAGGGCACCTCCCTGCCCTGCGATGTCCGTCCGTCCCGGCGCACAGCGACAACCAGGCCACAGGGTCCCCTAGGAATCAGAGCTCAGGGTGCCAGAGCTTCCTGTGACAGCAGAAGCACGCGTGACCCCACACGAGCCGCGCTAACACCCTGTACACAGGAAGGAATGCTCTCCCTCTACAGCAAAAGGCATGTGTTTTCTACCAGCACGTTCAATTAGAGCTGTGACTGCATTCTGTCTGAATCAGGTGAGGGGCTCTCCTGTGGGGACTCCGGGCCAGCTGGAGCGATGGAGGGGAAAGGGGAATGCCGTACACGCAGAGTGACGTTGCTAACGACGTCTACCTCTAGCATCCGTGCGTTCTTCTCCATTTCTAACTGTAACTTCTCCTTCAGCTCAGCTGCAAGAGAAACATAAAAGCAGGTCAGACCACAGAGTCTCCGAGTTTCCCACACCCCCACCACTCGCAGGGGAGAGGGCTGCCAGCACTTAAAGGCCACGCCATAGGAACGCTCGCCAACACGGGAGAGGACGAGAGGGCACGTCCGTGAGGGAACAAGAATTCCACGTGTGACGTATCGACCAAATTCTATTCCTACCTAAACCAAGGACAGAGCCTTCAGCCAGCCTGACAGCCCCACGCAAGCTGGCACATTAGACCTGGGCGCCCCTTCTGGTCTGTCTGCCCCACACCAGGCTCCCACGCACCCTGAGCCCATCGCCCAGCCTCCCACTGTGCTAGACTCCAGGCAAGGTATGAAAGACAGACAAAGACCTTCCGGGACCCATCAGCTCCCAAGCCCCAAGGGAAGAACCACAAGAGAAGACGTGCAGAGAAGGGATGACGCTGGACCAGTGGGCATGGCCTGGCAGGGATTGAGAGGTGTGCGCACACCTGGGGACGTGGGCACCAGGAAGAGACACAGGGACCTCAGGAAAGGGTGGAGGGGAGCTGGGGCCAGGCAACGACGGCACACGTACAAAGTGAGGGCGGCCTGAGCAAGCCCAGAGCTCAAGCAAAGGCCAGACACCACCTGAGAGGGGAGGTCACAGGGGCCCAGCCCATGGCAGAGCCTCATGGAGCAGAGGGCAGGTGTGGACCCCTCTGTGGTCCCATTCCCCAGGGTGAGCAGAGAGAAGACAGCATTGGAAGGAGCCTAAAGGAAAACATGTTCTGTATTTTTTAAAAATGAGCCAAAATGAGGGGACATAAAACTACTTATGTTTGCTTGACTCTACATAAGGAAACATGGGACGGTATCCCTGGAACATGAGAAGACTGGCTCCCTCTGAGGGCTAGGGGTGGGACCCAGAACAGGGCGACTTGCAACACATCCAGGCTGCTGTTTTCAATTTTCAAGTGAAAAACTCGACCAGCAGACGAGCGAGAAATGGGGGTGACCACGTCGGCACAAGTTTCTTTCTGGGGATCAATGTTCTAACCTTAGACTGTGGGACGTTTGCGCGACTCTGAAATGCACACTTTAAATGGGAAAATTGTATGGTATGTGAATTAGAACACAATCAAGCTGGTGTTCACAAAACTGAGGTCTTCAAAAGTAGTGACTAACAAAGAAATTGGAAAAAACCATTAAAACATAAAATTCGGGGAAAATAACCCATAAAATTCAATCTTAGGTGTAGAGAAAGAGCTCAGTCTAGGCCAGAGAATCACCAAAGGAGCCGGTGCCTCAGCTGTCCCCCGGGAGTGACACGGCCGCACCAGGAACAGAGGCAGAAGCCCGTGGGATGCGGGGTCTGTGTCCAGGAGCATCTGGGGTGGTCAACAACGCTCGGCCACAGACAGTCCCGCCAGAGGCGGACACGGATGCTTCCGGCACACAAGCAGATCACCTCCCATGACAGGACCCCACTTCAGAAACACACACAAGCCCAGGGAAGAAGCAGACAGCGGGCGAGGGGACCGCAGAGCCCCGCCCCCCAGCAGGGTGCCCCGCATGCTCTCGGGGAGCTCAGGATGGGACACCTGCCCCTGGCCGGGTCACCGGCCTGCCTCTGCAGAGGCAGCCGCGGGCGCCGAGCCCCCAGGCCAGGCTGGGACAGCCGCACCTGTTTCCTGGTGGCAGCGCTGCTCCGACTCCTCGCGCTCCCGTGCGTGCTGCTCCCGGGCCCGCGCCTGCTGGTGCTGCTGCTGGCTCCGCAGCAGGGCCAGCTCCTGGGCGTGACGGCCGTTGAGCGCGGCCCGCAGCTCGGTCAGCGCGGCCTCCTTCTCCCTCTGCAGGGTGGCCTGCATGCGCTCCAGCTGTGCGGCGTGCATGTTGCTCAGACTCAGGCGCAGCGCCTCCAGCTCCAGCGAGGGCACCGGCTGCGGGACAGGGCCGTTTCCGGGCGCTCCAGCACATGGCCTGGCAGGGCCGGGGCTGCCAACTCGCTACAGCAGCAGCCCCTCCCCCACCCCCCGCAGGCTCTCTCCACCCGCATCCCGGGAGCCTCGTGCTCCAGGGACAGTACCAGCTCAGCGACCCACAGGACCTCAGGCGGCCGGGCCCAGCCTGGCGGCTCCCCAGCCACCCGAAATGGCCCAGCTGGCCGTTCCTGAAGCCGCTCTGGCCCTGCCTCCACCCAAACTCTCTCTGCAGACAGCAGGGGCTGCAGTTCCTCCTCGAGGACACAGGCCACACGCAGCCACGCAGGATAGCCCCCAACCTCCTCCAGGCAGACTCCCCAGCCCAGAGGCCCATCCCGGCTGGAGACAGGGAGCAGTCATTCCAGATGTTGCAAGACCCCCATCAGATGGGGCGCCTGGGTGGCTCAGTGGGTTAAGCCTCTGCCTTTGGCTCAGGTCATGGTCTCAGGGTCCTGGGATCAAGCCCCACATTGGGCTCTCTGCTCGGCCAGGAGCCTGCTTCCTCCTCTCTCTGCCTGCCTCTCTGCGTACTTGTGATCTCTGTCTGTCAAATGAATAAATAAAATCTTTAAAAAAAAAAGAAAAAAAAAAGAAGGTCCCCATCAGAAACATGGGACAATAACCAGAACACAGACAGGAGGCGGCTCTGGATGGTGACTGCCAATGCCGGAACAGCATGAGGCCAAACAGGGCCCAGCAGTGGCTGAGTGAGTGAACCGTCAGGAATCCCAGGCTCCAGACCAGAGACAAGTGAGCTCTGCACTTCACCGCTCTGGAAGGTGGGCAGAGGGGACAAAGGAGAGGCTTCTGTGCCTAGCTAAGCTAGGGGAAATCTGTTGCTCCTTCCACTGCCCTGGGTGAATCTGGAAGAAGGCCAGAGTTCCAGGAAGCATACTTATTCCCAACTAACACTAACAACAGAAAAACACACTTAAGGGACACCCGAAAAGCATAAAAATAAAATGAATAAAGGGGGGTCACCGGGGTGGCTCAGTGGGTTAAAGCCTCTGCCTTCGGCTCAGGTCATGATCACGGGGTCCTGGGATAGAGCCCCGCATCGGGCTCCCTGCTTAGCAGGGAGCTTGCTTTTCCCCCCTCCCTGCTGCTCTCCCTGCTCATCCACCTTCTGTCAGTCAAATAAATAATTAAAATCCTTCAAAGTAAATAAATGAAATGGATAAAGGAAAGCAGTAAGCAGAGACCATGGGACAAAAATATGTGTCTCCAGAGAGGTCAGCAGGGACCTCCAGCAGGACAGCAAGGCGACAGTGAGGTGGAGGGACGCGCACCAGCCCTCCTGCCACAAGCACCTCCTGCTTCCCGGAGGTGGCAGCCACCAGGGGAATCAGATGTGCCTGCAGGACGGCCTGGCTCACAGCTTCTCTCCCTCGAGGCCCCTCAGGACCACGCACCCCCTGTGTTTAATGAATAGGAGCGGCAGCTGATAGGGAAACCGCTGGCTGTGCTATGAGTGGCCCTTGGCCAGACGCACCACCCCCAGGTGTCCCGCACACCTCTCCACCTGCCCTTTCAAAGCCCCACAGCCAGCCTGCAGCACAGACCCGTACTACCGCAACCCTCCCAGATCCCCAAACCCACTGGCGCAAATTACAGGGTGAGTGCGCAGGGACCAGCCACACCCCCAAGCATCCCGTCGCCAGGTCGGCAGCTGCACCTGCTGCGTCTCTGTCGGCCACTGAAGCCCCACGGCCACCTGCTGCTGTGCGCCAACGGCATCCTTCGGTCTTCTCGTCAGCTCCGCAAATTCTAGCTTACGTTCTTGTTCGCATTCCTAAAGAAGGAAAGCGAAGGACGTAAGCCAAAGAATTCACATGAGAAAACAGTCACTACAAACACTCAGGACACATCAGAGGGAACTGAGCCCAGCAGCGTTCACGGCAGCACGACTCCCAGCTGCGTCCACACCCAGCAAACGCACAAACAGAACGTGGAAAAGCCGTCGGGGTTGGGGGGCGCATCACTCTGCTATAAAAAGGAGCTACGACACTGAGAATCTCAAAACGTTAGACTCCGTGAAAGCAGCCAGACACACACTGTGCGGTTCTGCGAATGTGAACTATCCAGAACCGGCAAATCCACAGGGACAGAATGGCGGCCAGGGGGTGCCAGGGGCCGGACAGACAGAGGAATGGGGAATGACTGCTAATGCGTATGAGGCTCCTTTCTGGGTAATGAAAATGTGTTGGGATCACACAGTTATGATAGTTGCACGACAAAATGTATCAAAAGCCACTGGTATATATGCTTTAAAATGATGAATTTTATACACACACATCGTATCTCAATAAAAGTAACTATGAAAGAACAACCAGGCTGTTCAAGTGGCTTAGGGTAAAGCGGAAAACCCCAGAGGTGTTGCTGACGGACAGCAGCGTGAGCTCCCCAGGCTCTCTGCTCCTCAGTCAGGAGAGACGCTTACGGGAAGGAAGACCTACTTAAGATGCCTGCAACGGGTGGTACCAGTAAGAGCTCAATGAACCTGAAGAGGTAAAACTGAAATATTTTATAGCTAGTCAGTCAGCAAAAGCTCGTGGTAATATTGATCCTCAGTGTCACCAAAGTCATGGGGAAACAACCAAACACGTCAATAGCAGAGTAAGTTGGTGTAACTTTTTCTCATGAGCATACGTCAAGTGCCATAGAAAACGTTTCCGTCTTAATATTCCCGGGGCTGGGGGCACCTGGACGGCTCAGGTGGTTAAGCATCCGACTCCTGATCTCAGCCCGTCCTGATCTCAGAGTCGTGCGTTCAAGCCTCACGCTGGGCTGCACGCTGGGCTCAGAGCCCACTTAAAAAAAATTTCCCAACTCCAGGAACATTTTCAGCATCAGCAATCTAAAGGGAAAAGAAAAGCTACAGGCCTTCTGTGAGCATCCCAGTCTCCCCTACCCTCCACCGCAACCAGCCCCAGGACAGGCCTAGAGAAGACCTTGCCGGGACCATGCCCAGCCAGGAGCAGGCCCCGCCCAGAGCCCCCCCCCCCCCCAGAGCAGGCTGCTACAGCCACAGGCCTCCCACCTTCCCCTCCCTGATAGCCCAGACCTTTCTCCGGGGCTTACTGAAAAGGCACCTCAGACTCAAACCAGACTGAATTTTCCTGCCCAAGCCAGGACTCCTCCAACATTATCCACCTCAGTTGACAGCACCCCCAAACCCTCACAGTCCTCCTATTCCTGCCTCCCGTCACAGCAACCCCACAGCAGCCCAAGGCCAATCCTGGCCACCCTCCATTCCCATGAGCACAGGTGACTGGCCCCCACGGTCACTCAGCCTAACGTGAGGTCAGTGGCTTGGAGGCCAGATGATACATTCAGAGAACAAATCCAACCTTGTCACCCCCTTGAAAAACTCGGTGCATCTGCTGCTCTTGGGGAAAAATCCCCGAAGGGGGCAGAGTCCCTCCTGCTGTCCCACTTGGCACCTGCCTCGTGCACCAGGGGGCCCCTGCGCATATGGACTGGCTCTGCCTCCCCTCCTTAAGCTCCTCTGGGACTTCCCAGCCCTGACGCCCACCCCCGCTGCTCCCTGCACATGTTGGCGATGCCCAGGAGTCTGCCCGATAGCTGTGAGGCACAGCGCGCCTCTACCTGTGCGGCTCACCGCGTGGAAGCAAAGCGTTCCAAGGGGAGTGTTAGAACCATTAAGTATCACTATGGATCCTTCTTCAAATTAAAGGGTTCTTTCCAATGGTAAAAAGTAATATAGGAGTGTCCAGTTTTAAACATAAAAGGCAAAACCTTAAACCATTTTTGCTACAAACATCAGAATTGTGGGATAAAATATAACAAAAATGACTCTAAATGCTCTCCGGGAGGGAACCCACCAGGTGCCAGACAGGAGGGACCCAGAATCTAAAATGATCTAGGGGGACAGGGACACGGGAGGGCAGCACGCGCTCCCAGAACTGGCAGCTTTGCCGGGGGGGGGCGGTGAGAAATGAGATGCTGGACACAAGCAGGCGTCCTGAAGGCCTGTGCGGCAAGACAGGACGCAATCATCACTGCCCAGGTGTGTGGGCCAGGGAGCTGCCCCACGTCCAGATGCTGAGGCAAAGGCGGCAAGGTGGGGGCGTCTCCCCGAAACGTTAAAACCCAGGCCTGCTCATCGCACGTTTACAAACGTACACATGCCGTGGGATGCAGAAACCCCCCTGCCAAGACACTGACGTAAAAACAAGTCCCAGCAAGGGCACACAGGTGGCTCAGTCCATTAAGTGTCTGCCTTCAGCTCAGGTCATGACATCAAGGTCCTGGGATGGAGCCCTGGATCCAGTCAGGCTCCCTACTCAGCGGGGAGTCTGCTTCTCCCCCCCCCCACTTGCTGCTCCCCCTTCTTGTGTGCGCGCTCTCTCTCTCAAATAAAATCTTAAAAAGAAAAAAGAAGTCCTAGCAAAGGGCTGTTCCTGGGACACCTATCAGATACAAATCTGGCACCCGTCCGGAGGGGCTCCCACAAGCGAGGGACACAAGATATTCTCATGGGAACCACACAAACACCTCCCTAAAAGCGAGCACACACAGGCTACCCCAGGAAGTAACAGGAACCTGCAGAACAAAATGTTAAAGAAGACCTTCGGCAGTATCCGCAGGTGGTCCCCACAGAGGTATGCAGCCCCAAACGAGCCCAAGCCCTACAGTAACCTACAGAGAGGGACGGACCACACCTCTAAACACTGGGCAAAATTCAGACCAATTTGCTCATGAAAAGGTACAGCTGCACTTAAAACAAAATCAGCTTCAAAGTATCTCCAGGAAACATTACATGACACAAAATGATACCGCTGTCTTTAAGGAGTCCAAACAGAATAGGTCCCGAAATACAGAGAGCAGAGCCAAAGTCAACAACTCAAGAGACGGATCTCGTAGCCGATGACACACAGATGAACAGAGTCAGTAAAGAAGAGAGAACCCAGACGAAATCTGTCAGGGTAACCAAAAGAAGGAACATGCAGAAAAGAAGATGGGACAGGTGCACACGAGAGGAGCTCTGAAAACCGCCACTGGGATTTCGGGCCCCTGGAGAAAGAAGGGCCAGACGCTGTGTGTGGAGATGCCACCTGGAGATCTTCTAGAAGCAACAGACGCAAGAGCCCAGGTCCCAGGTCGTGCTAGTAAAATGAGATGTGCACATCTCAGCCTAGGAAAGTGAGAGTGTGGAAGGCCAAGCAGGAAGTGTGCAAGGCGGCGGCGGCAAAGGGACAAAGGGACGGTGGGCTGGCGGCTGTGGACACTGAAGCCGGGGCAGAGCCGGGCAAACACCCAGCACGCGACACACCACCACCAATCTCCGAGTCCACGCCGGCAGGGCTATCTTTCAGGAACAAAGGGAAAAAGCCAAAAATATATTCAGGAAAACATCAACTGGGAGCATGGGCGCAAGAAGGGTGTCGCCGCAGGAAATGCTAAAGAGTATCCTGCAGACAGAAGGGCGACGCCCAACGTGCAAGCCTGAAAAAGAGCAAAGGAGAAAGAAAATGGACCTACAGTGCTAACCCTATACAAGAACTGACACTAAAAAATGAGTGACTCCTTCCACCGTGTGGAAGCACCCAGGCCAGGTCAACGAGCACGTACACGCAGTAAAGCAACCAAATGAAGGGGGTCCTACTGTAGAATCAGCCAGCATGAACCCTACGTCTGTTGTGCTACAGGATTCAAAAAGTCAGACCCAAAAGGCTACACATTCTAGGATCCCATCTGTACCACAGAAAAGGCAAAAGTACAGAACGGACACAGGCAGGCAGTCACTCGGGGCTGGTGAGGGAGAGGAGGCTGACAGTGGGGGTGGGGGGCACAGGGAAACTTGCAGGGGTAGAGCTGTTCCGTGGGGAGCCCCGTGGTGCTGGACTGGATCTGGGGCCAGCAGGACGCGCTCAAGCTTACTTTAATACGTGTACATAAGGACAGACAGACACAGAGTTAACTGCAGTCAGTTGATAACCGCACGCACACGGACTGGTGTGCCCACGCATCCGCTGACTGACCCAGCAGTGACCGCACCCGGCGCCCCGGTCTTGGTTTCTACTAGCACCAAACGAAAGGAACCAGGGCCCCTCGAAGAAACGTGTGACTCCAGAACTGAGGCAGGGAGCGCAAGACGAGCCTGAAGAAAGCCAGAACGTGCTTCTAAGACAAAGGATGGGGCATGTCACCAGGACGCAGGGGCCGGACTGAAAAAGCTCCCAGTGGCCCGAGCCGGAACACTTAAAGCAACAAAAGAGATACGACGTAGTTTGAGGTTACAACAGAAAGTGTAACATAAATACACATGAGCTCACACTGATATCAATATGTGAGTAAATTAACTAATGGGGGAGAAGAGGCAACTCTCCCTTACAGAAGAATCACAAACAGAATGTGTGGCTACCCCTCCCTGTGGGAGGCGGCACGTAATTTCTGTCCCTTGAAGAGTGTGCTGGGCTCAGTGGCTCCCTCCCGAAGAGGAGAGTCTGGAGAAGGGGAAACCCGGCTGACCCGGCCTGGCAGGAGGCGGCTACAAGGGCACGTCGCCTCGGTGGTGAAATCCCTAATAACGACAATCATCAGAGAAACCCAGACTGAGGGAGAGTCCCCGAGTAGCTGACCAGTGCTATTCCAAATGGTCACCAGAAACTGAGATGCGGTCAGAGACCTGAGGAGACGAAGCAGATGAGGCGACTGAGAGTGATGTGGTCCTGGGCAGAGGCCCCGACGGAAAACTCGTGGCTAGAAAACTCCTGGGACCCAAGCGAGTCCGTACGCAGTTAGCAGTGACGCTGCAGAGTTAAGGCCTCAGCTCCGACACGTGTGCCCATGTCCACGATGCCAGCAGGACAAAATGGGGTGAGGGAGTACGGGAATGGCACCCACTCCACAACTCTGCTGTAAACTTCTAACTCTTCCCAAACTAAAAGCTTATTTAAACCAATGAACGGCTGGATAATAGAAGGCTGAACGAACTGTGGGACTAAAAATTATTTTTAAAAAAGGAAAGCAGGGGCACCTGGCTGGCAGAGTTGGTAGAGCGTACAATGCTTGATCTCAGGATCGTGAGTTCAAACCCCACGCTGGGCACAGAGTTTACTTAAACAAACAAATAGGAATGTGACACCCATTAGGATGGCTACTATAAAAAAGAGAAAACAGGTGTTGGTGAGTATGTGCACAGTTGGTGGAAATGTAAACTGAGGCAGCCACTGTGGAAAACAGTGTGGAGGTTTCTCGAAAATTAAAATTAGAATTACCATCTGATTTAGCACACTTATTGACATACACCGCCAAAGACTTGAAAGCACAGTCTCAAAGAGGTATTTGCACACCTTATCCACAGCAGCGTTACTCACGATGCCTAAAACGTGGAAGAGACTCAAGCATCCTCCCCCAGATGAATGGATTACCACAAAGCACTCTAATCATACTAAGGAATATTAGCCTTAAAAAGGAAGGAAACTTTGTCACAAGCTACAACACATATGAACCTTGAGGACATCATGCTAAGTGAAATAAGCCACTCGCGAAAAAAAAAAATAAACACATATTCCACTTACGTGTGGTATCTAGAATAGTCAAAATCAGAGACTGAGAAAGTAGAACGGTGGCTGCCAGAGGCTTGGGGAGGGGGAATGGGGACGTACTGTTTAAAGCGAACAGAGTTTCAGCTTTACAAGATGACAGAAGCTGTGGAGGTGGACAGTGGTGATGGCCGCATGACATTATGAATGCATTTAAAACAAATGGGCTGTGTGGGGCACCTGGGTGGCTCAGTGGTTAAGTACCTAATTCTTGGTTTTGGCTCAGGTCATGATCTTGGGGTCTTGAGATCGAGCAACTTGTCAGGCTCTGTGCTCAGTGGGGGAGTCTGCTTGAGATTCTCCCCCTCTCCCTCTGTCCCTCCACCCTGCTCTGTGCATGCCCCCCGTCTCTCTGTCTAAAATAAATAAGTCTTTAAAAAAAAAAAATGGTTAAGATGGAAAATTTTATGGTAAGTGTATTTTATAATAAAAAAATAACAAAAACATACACTGAGAGACTTATAGATGGAGTTTAAATATTCTAAGATCCTTATACTTTCAAAGACCAAAGTTACTGATTAAGTTTACACAGAGAAGTATAAATGTTCTATTTAATCTCACCAGTAAAAGAACAGAAACTGAGTATATTATTACTTCAAAATGGGTGAAGAAAGAACTAAAAAAAAGAAATCCCCTGATAAAAAATAATCCAAAGCCTTGCCCCTGCAAAAGGAGAAAGAAGGAAATAAAACAAACAGAAAGCCTAAAAATGAAACATAAGCTCAAACACATCAGTGATTACATGAAATGTAAATGAATTATACTATCCACCAAAAAGACACAGACTATCAGAAAAATTTTTAAAAATCAAGCCCCCACTGTTAAGCAGGACATAAAGTGAAACACAAGGACGCAAAGTTGTTGGAAGGGTAAGGACAGAAACACACCAGTGCCACGTCTGACCCATTTACACAGCGTTCTAAAGCACAACTGCCATGGAAATCAGGGTGCAGCTGACTTTGGGGTCGAGAGAACACAGCAGCAGGCCCAGCACTGTCGCGTGTCTTACCTGCGGGAGGATCATGTGGTGTTTATTGCGTACTTGTTTGTTAGGCTGTATGTACATTTCATGCAGTTTCTACTTTTCCATGTACATGCTGTATGTCACAGGGATTATTTTTCATTTTTTGTGTCACAGTTTAAAACAAGTATAAAAACATGTATTTTAGGGTGATCATTGTGGACCCCACCAGAGACGATTTTTCCAGGCCCTGCCTATGATCCAGATCTCACCTGCAATAATACAGATTAAAAACCAAGCTTGCTCACTGTCTAAAGTAATGTGAACTGAGGCCAGCTAGAATCCAAAGTTTAAAATACAGAATTTTGGGGCGCCTGGGTGGCTCAGTGGGTTAAGCCTCTGCCTTCAGCTCAGGTCATGATCCCAGGGTCCTGGGATCGAGCCCCGCATCAGGCTCTCTGCTCAGCAGGGAGCCTGCTTCCCGTCCCCTCTCTGCCTCTCTGCCTGCTTGTGATCTCTGTCTGTCAAATAAGTAAATAAAATCTTTTAAAAATTTTTTTAAAAATAAATAAATAAATAATAAAATACAGAATTTTAACACAACACTTTCAAACCAGTCAATTCAGCATCTAATGAATTTTCTTCCAAATGCTAAAACAAAACAAACAATTAATAAATGTAATTAATCCAACATATATGGAATTCATGCCAGGCCCTGTGGCAGAAACAAACCCCACACACACAACTGACTATGGGAGAGATGAAGGCCAGGCCCAAGGAACACGCCACAACATTTGGGCAATGAGAAAATGAGGGAAGTCAGACATGACCACTAGCCTCAATGCATGAAAGGCAACCTTCTCTCTTCAACATCGGGAAGGAAAGATCAAAGGTCCCAAGGAAAGGAGACTGAGGCTCCATCAGAAGGGTCTCCAGAAAGACCTTCTGTGCAAGGGTGACACCAAGGAAATGAGGCCTGCAGGGGAAGCTCTGTATCCAACTCTCTTTGTTCTGAGCTTCTACTCTTGAAGAGACAGGACCCTTCAGATATTGAGTCCTTTCTCTGGTTTGGATTTCCACCACAAGACGGAGAAATCCTCTGACAAGGAACACACTTTAACAGAGAACCCTGAAGAATACCTTTGTGATATCCTCAGGCTGTTCCAAGTGGTCGCCATCCAGCTTCTGCTGTGGCTGCTCCGAGTGCCCTGTCCTCTCTCCACTGGGGTCCTCCAGCTAAGAAGGAAGGGCCAGAGAAGAGCATTTACAGCAACGTCCAGAGCCGCAACCTCAGGCCTTCCACCCGCACACCCAAATGCCCGCACCAATTCCATTCCCACCTGCTCAAAATGCACGTTCCTCCATAAACAATTCTCAAACCCTAAACATTTTTTATGCAACCATTTCCCTAATGATGTCACTGCTCTTCTATTTTTTAAGATTTGACTTATTTATCTGGGGGTAGGGAAAGGCAGAGGGGGAAGGAGAGGGACAAGCAGACTCCATGCTAAGCGCAGAGCCCAACATGGGGCTCGGTCCCAGGATCCTGAGATTAGGACCTGAGCCAAAACCAAGAGCTGGATGCTTAACCGACTGAGCCCCTAGGCGCCCTGCTGCTCTTCTATTTAATGAATTCTGCCTCATTTCACTGTGCATGACACTTAAATTACCAAATTTTAGTTTCTCAATAAATTCTAATCTTTCAAACACATGCATATTTCCTAAGCTCTTTTTATTTAAGTTCAAATATTTCATCCTCAAGATTTTCCATTTTCAAATAGCTTGTTTTATTATAAGAATACCGTAGGAGCGCCTGTGTGGCTCAGTTGGCTAAGGGTCTGCCTTCAGCTTACATTGTGCTCTCAGGGTCCTGGGATCAAGCCCCACATAGAGCTTCCTGCTCAGCAGGGAACCTGACTTTCTCCCTCTCCCTCTGTGCCTCCCCCTGACTCATGCTCGGGCTCTTGCTATCTCTCTCTCAAATAAATAAATAAATAAAATCTTTAAGGCGGGGGGGGAAGAATACCGTATATGATACAGAAAACACACAAAATACATGTTAATCGACTGTTACATCACGTTGCTGGTAAGGCTTCCGGTCAACAGTAGTTATGTTTCGGGAAGTCAAAAGTTATAGGCCTATTTTCAACTGCATAGGGGGGTCAGTGCCCCAACCCCCTTGCTGTTGAAGGGTCAACTACATACACAAATATTCTAGTTAGTATATTTGTTTTACACAGGAGTGAGGATTAGCAATTATGAAACTAATCTGTGTATATTTTAAGACTGAGGAAGTAAGTGAATTTATTGTAGATAGGACGCCAGGTTTCTCACTATTGGTAAAAGGAGTTAAGATAAGGAGAGGGGTGAGAAGCTAGAATGATTCCTGTGATGTTGGATGGGAACTGAAGGTACTAGTGTGAACTCATGGTTTTTGTTATACGCAGAGACTGACAAAGAAACAGAGACCTAGCTCTCTGTTAAAGCAGCCTGGAACCAAAGACACCCCAATAGCAATGAGCACACCTATCATCCGGATATTGGTTTCTAAATACCATTCTCCACTAAAAGAAACCAGAGCTCCTTGAAGAATTGGCTGGTAACAGTCTGAAAAGGACAAAACAAACTTGGGAAATCTCTGTCCCAAGATGCAAAGAACTAAGGTACCAAAAACGAGGACATGTAGGAAAGGCAGATGCCAATTCAAAGGCACACCCAATGGCCAAATCTCTGTATTCCGGCAACGAAATAGACACTGGCGTGGTTGCTGTAATGGAGCAAAACCTACAGAATAAACGCAGGGTGCCTGGCTGGCTCAGGTGGTGAGACCGTGACTCTTGATCTCGGGGTCAAGTGTGTAAGCCCCATGTTGGGTGTAAGGTTTACTTAAAAAAGGGAAAAAAAAAAAGAGAGAGAGAGAGAGAAATCCCTAAATCCACACTAGCATACACAACTGGACACACAAGCAGACTAGAGGGAAACAACAGCTCCTCCTCACAGCAGGACGTCAACACACCATGACAGAATGACAGACACAGAAATCATCATTTGGCCAACACCACCATAACAACTGCGGCAAGCAACCATCACCAATGGAAGGTAAAATTAGTGGAGGAAAGCAGGAGAAATAGGGCTTTGCAGGGTCTCTCTCTTCCCACGATACACTTACTAACTCCAAAGTTAAAAACAGTGACTTCTCTATCAAGGGACATCTGGCAGGTCCCATAGTAACTCAGTGATCAAAGCTGACCTTACCAGTAGTAGTGAGACTACTATGTATCAATACCACCTGCACAGAGCAGGGAATCCTCACGTCTACCCTGTTCTCACCAAAACTTATAACCTGATTTTAATCAGAAGGAAACATCAAACAATCCCAAACTGACAGGCATTCCACAAAATGACTAGTGAGGGATTGCCCAGGTGGCTCACCAGGTTAAGCTTCTACCGTCAGCTCAGTTCAAGATCCCACGGTCCTGGGACTGAGTACGGCTTGGGGCTCCCTGCTCAGTAGGGAATCTGCTTCTCTCTCCCCCTCTGCCCCTCCCCCTGGCTTGTGGGCGCACGCTCTCTCTTTCTCAAATAAAAATAAAATCTTAAAAAAAAAAAATACCTACCAGTGACTCTTCGAAGATGTCCAACTTATAAAAGACAAGGTAAGACTGAGAAAGTGTCTCAGACTGGAGGAGACTAAGATGGCAGGACACGGAGGTGCAGTACATAATCCTGGACCGGAAAAAGGGCAGCAGTGGGACCAAGAGAGAACCCTGAACACGCTCCATCCATTAGCTCACGGTCCTGTTTCAGCGTGAACTGAAACAGATTACGATCTTCGTGCGGCAACACAAGACGTTAACACTTCAGGAATCGGAGCGAACGGTGTCTATAAACCCTGGGCTAATTTTTGCAAATTTTTTCTTAAGTTGAACATTATTTCAAAATGAAAAGCTAAAATATATAGAACACTTAACTTAAAATTAAAAAACTTCTCTGACTTGAAAGCAAAAATAAAACCACCATTAATTATAAGTCATGAGCTTTTCTCCTCAAGGAGCCGTGGAGAAAACATGCAGGGAAGAGCCCTGGAAGCCAAGTCTCAGGCCTCTGGGTGTGGCGCCTTCACCTGCGCGCGGAGTGATGGAGACGCGGCTGTGAGGGCGGCGACCCCACCCCAGGACAAGCACAGAGGAGGACAGTGACCCCCAGGCCTGCAGTGGGGGATCAAGCTGACCCAAAGGCTGGGCCCACAGAGTGCTGGCCAGCTGCCCCCACCGATGCGGGAGTACAACAGCGACGTCTTCCAAATTTCTAAAAGTAAAATTCCAGATGTGTAGGTAGAATATCATAAATTTACACGCTGGCAATGATGCCATTTTTCCAGTAAAGCATGCCAGACGCATCAGGGGTTTTCGTCAAATTCTGCCCTCAGCCACCAGCATTCCAGCCGCTCCCAGCAAACACCGACCCCTGCCCCTGCTCTGCCGCACACGGCAAGGGCCCTCGCTAAGGTACCCAAGAAGCCACAATGCAACCCACCCACAGGCGACCAGGAGGCCAGGTGGGCGCACACCTGCCCCCGACTGGGCCTCAAGCAGAGAGCAGGGCCTCGTCCAGCCAGTCGCCACTCCCGGAACGCCTCCACCCAGGCCTTCTCCATCCCGACATTCAGAGAGAAAGTGAAGAACAAAGACCGGGAGCGGATGAAGGAATATTACGGTTTAAGTGTCCAAAGAAAAGCCTGTTAAAGGGGCTGATACAGCCACACCCAGGGAACACTGATAAAATCTCCATTACCAAAGCAACAACCAATACTGACGCTTGCCTTCAGTCAATCCAAAATCACAGAAGATAAGACACTTACTAGGAGTGAAAACACAAAATACATTCCCTTTTTCATAAAGTGAAACTCTCTTTCCCGACCTTTGACAGGCAAAAACAGACCAAAGTTGCTGGTGCTGCGAAGTTGCACCGTGCTGAGAACACCCACCTGCGCTGCCTGTGCTCCCTCGGGGGTGTCACTGCACGACGCGTCTTCGCAAACGTCCCCTCTTCCCAGGAGTCCACCATCCTTGGTGGCTACCGGGCCCTCCTCCTGGACAGGCGCATCGACAGCCGGGCCCTTCCTCTTCGCCGTCTTTTTCTTCGGATGCGCACAGTCACCTTTTGTTTTTCTCTGTCGGAAGTGAGCAAGCTGCGCAAAAACGTAGAGAAGTAGTAAAGGCAAAGGTAAGTAAGAAAAAAGTAACAGAACCACAAAGCCAGTGAGCTGGTGGGGAACATGAGGCTGTGGGGCTGGCTCAGTGTGCTCGGCCAAACCTCGCCAGACCCACAGATCAACCAGCAGATCCCTGTCCCACAAACCCTGCCTTCATTACTATCTGCAACGCCAGCATTGAAGTTGAGAATTCTACGCGAACAGTCCCACAAGAAGAACTGCTAATTACGCCTGTATACAGACAAAAGAAAGCAATACGGCCAACGGGCAGAAGAGCTCTTCTAGCCCCTGGCAGTTCACAGAAAAATACTTTCAATCGTATTGAAAAAAAAAAAAAATACATCTATTTAAAAGACTGATAGCTTTATCAAGGCATGCTTAAGGTTTAAAACTATGTAAATGCTAAATCTCTTTTTGCTCCCATTTTCCCCCAGTCGAGGAAATACATAGCCGAGCCAAAACTTCCTAGCCACAGATTCTGAGGCAAGATACAGAAATAGCAAAAAATTAATTAAGCCAGGTCAATCTACGATCCTCCTTTATGGAATCAGATGTTCTATTTTCCATGACACAGCTAACAGTGCACCAGGGACCTCCACAGAGTGTCACCCATCAAAAGACACAACCGAGCTCTGCTCAATCCCTCAAACTAGAGGGTTTTAGACTCTGTTCCCACACCATCTCCCGTAAGATCTTACTCGAAGGTAAGAGATCTAACATCAGCTTTTCCCGAGACACTAGCTCCTTCAAATAACAGCTGTACTCATAAAAGCAAATGCATTTAACAAACATTTGTGTCAATGCAGAAGTGCACACTTCCACAGACACAGAAAAATTACATAAGGCCACTTACATGAGAAAAACCATCTGGTCATCACAGCCTGCCTTCCAAACCAGCCCCACATTCCTCCTTTTATGCCCACTCCGTCAACTCTGTCCCCAGGTTCCCTCCCACAACACCATCCTCAAGTCTGGCCTGGGGTCTCCAGCAAGAGGTGCCCTGCTTCTTCCTGCAACAGGGTGAACCTTCCTCATCACCCCCAGCGCTCCGTCAAGCATGTTTATGCTCACACACTACGGCAAGCTCGGGGGGAAAAACACGTCAAATACTGAACTCCGGCTCAGTTTTGTCTCCTGGCCCATGTACATGCCAGGCACATGGAAAGGAGAAAAACAGGCCACCACCTCCCTCCTCAAACCCCAGTCACAAGTTCTGCTTCCCAGGAAGCCTGAATGAGGCCACCCTGTCCTCTCCCTGTCACCCTGCGGTTAGACGCTGCTACACCAGTCACTAAGTGTGTGAACGGCCTCTTTAATGCAGTGGCCCTGGGGTTCCCTCCAAGGGAGATCAGCACTGAGTATCTCCACGAGCTGGTCCAGGTTCAAGTCCCAATGTCTGGCCACACCTGAGCTCACGCACGCAGCAACATCCCGTGGCTCTACCCGCTCACGGGAGCCACCGCATGCACTCTCCCTCATCCCTGGGCCAGTAGGTAACTCACTCCCCGGGGAAGCAGCCAGAAGGGGGAGCAGGGGGGAGGGCAGGGAGTCACAGCCTAAGTGCCTGTGTGCTCCCCTCTGCGGCCACCGCCCGGGTCATGCCGGTTCACGGCTCAAGCCCCACGATATGCCCCTGACAGAGAGTACCAGTGTTGACGTGAAAACCCAGGCAGAGGCAGGAAGACCCACGCACCCTGCAGCCGCCCGACTCTGGAGCACAGAGCTCCCCAGGGCTTTCACAACCTAGTGTCCCTCGGGGGTGTCCCCTGTCCAGCTGTGGGGCGTCCCCAGGAAGCCCGGCGTGAGGGGCTGCCACCAGCAGAGCTCCTCGCCCAGCCCTGAACAGCAACGAGGCCGCAAGAGCTTCTGGACCCCGGGCTGGCAGCGGGCGCTCTGCAGTGTGGACAGGCCATGTGCTCCTGGCCACCACTCCAAAACTTCTTTCATATTAAAAAAAAGGCTGCAGGGGCGCCTGGGTGGCTCAGTGGGTTAAAGCCTCTGCCTTCAGCTCAGGTCATGATCTCAGGGTCCTGGGATGGAGCCCCGCATCGGGCTCTCTGCTTGGTGAGGAGCCTGCTTCCTCCTCTCTCTCTGCCTGCTTCTCTGCCTACTTGTGATCTGTCTGTAAAGTGAATAAATAAAATCTTTAAGGAAAAAAAAAAAGCTGCATAATTCCAAGTGAAACGCTAATCTGCACGTGGTTTTAAACGGGCGGGAATGGAGTCGAATCCTGGAGAGAGGTAAATCACGGGCCCTACGAGTGGTCCCCGAGCCCCGAGTTCTGGGGGACGGGGCCGCGGCAGGTGCAGGTGCACGGGTGTGCGACGAGCCGGCCTTCCAGGACAACGACGACGCGCGGGGCGGGGGCGGCGCCAGCCCCTTCACCGCCAGCCCGGGCTCCACTTCCTACTGGGGACCGCGCGTTCCTAGGCCACCCGTGTCCATCAGGGCGCTACTGGCCGAGACGTCCCGGCGCCTCCCCTGGAAACGCGGGAAGGCGCGGGAGAGAGCGGAAAGGGCCCGGGCTGGGGCGGGAGCCCGGCAGGCCGCGCGCTGCCGAGATCTGGCCCCACCCCGCCCGCCGGCACTGCCCCTCCCCGCCGTGCGCTCCCACGGGCGTCCGCCCCGCCCTGCGCGCAGGCGCAGCCTCGCAAAACCCCCGGCATGCCCCGCGCCTGGCCTCCTGGCGCCCCTGCCCTCTCCGCACGTCCTCGACCGGTGATTGGCTGCAGCCGCCGTGGGGGCGGGGCCGGGCAAAGGGCGGCGGATTCAAGATGGCGGCGGCCAGGAGGGGGCTTCCTGCCGAGTCGGCGGGAAGGGCTAGACTGTGGCGGCGGTCCCTGCCTGCCCGCACCCGCTCCTAGCACGGAACAGGCGCAGTCACCGGAACCCGCCCTTGGGAACCCACGCTGGGACAGTGGGGGGAGGAGGCGGCGCTGTCGTTTACCTTCGCTCTCCCGGCCTCCACCTTCCTGCGCCGCTGCTCCTGCTCGTCTTCTTCCATGCCCTCCAGGGCTTCTCGCGGGGCGCCCGAGAGGTGACGGGGTCGAAGGCCGCCGCCTTCGCTCTATTTACACTCCCTCCCCCTAGTCTGGGCTCGCCCTCCCCCCGCGACAACTGTCACGCAGACGTGAGCCCGGCTCCGCCCTCGGCGTGCGCCCTCCGCCCGCCGCCAATCCCGGAGGGGGGGGGGGGTCGCGCTCCTGCCCTCGCGCACGCGCGGTCAGGGCGGTGCGACCCAGGTCCCGCCCCTGCCGGCTGCTGGCCTCCCATTGGCGCGATGATGATCCCGCCTCCCAGCAGGACCAATGGTGGAGCGCGGAGGCCTCGGCTGTCTCTGTGATTGGCCGGGTTTAAAGGGGTCCTCCGTGCCCGATTAGAGAGCGGCCGGCTCGGCGCTGGCGCGCAGGGCGGCTAGGTTCGCGCTGCCTCCCGGGCCGCACCCGAGCTTCGACGGCCCTTGGAGCGAGCGCGGTCCTGAGCTTTCGTCCGCGGTCCTGTTAGCGGGGAGCGAGGCGTGGCCGCGGCCCGTCCGTGCAGGTGGCAGGCGCAAGGGCGGCGGGAGCCCGCCGGGAAGAGGCCGCAGCGTCGGGGGCCGCGGCCGTCCCGCACCTGCTCTCTGCGCGCGCTCGCTGCGCCGTGCGGGGCCTCGGGCGCGCGCCTGCCTCCCGCCGGCGGCCTGGGCGCTAGGGCGGGCTCCGCGGTCCCGGTCCGCACGTCCGCGCTAAAGCAGCGCCCGGGGACCCCGCGGGAGCCGCCGCACGGCACGGGCCTGTCCTCGTAGGGGCCGGGGCCGCGGGGCGCCCTGCCGAGCGCCCTTCGGTGCCCTCGAGACTGGGTTGCGGTCGGCCGGCGTCGGCGAAGGTCGCGCCCCCCACGACGGCGGCGGGACGCGGGCTTGGAGCGGGGCTGCCCACGGGGACCGCGGCCGGAGGGCCGCGCTGGCCTTGCCCGGGGCAGTGCTGCCGGGACGCGTCCTGGGCTCTGGGGCTCCTGCTCGCCTGTCCCCGCGCCTCTGCCTCGGCGTGTGCGGGCAGTGCGAGCCCCGCGTGCTCCCTGGTGAGACCCAACGAGGGTCACGGCGGGAGCGCCCGGGGCACCTGCGGGGCTCCGGGGGTTGAGCCTGTGCCTTCGGCTCAGGTCATGATCTCAGGGTCCTGGGATCGAGCCTCGCATCGGCCTCTCTGCTCAGCGGGGAGCCTGCTTCCTCCCCCACCCTCTACCTGCTTGTGATCTCTGTCAAATAAATAGATAAAATCTTAATAATAATAGCGCCTCCAGCCAGCCGCGTGCAGAGGGACCCTTGCGGACCGTTGCGCATCCCTCACGCGGCGAGTCCGTGGTCCACGCAGCCACGACCCCCTCGGACCCCTTGGCGGATGCTGGAAACCAACCCCGGAGAGCGCTCCTGGGTCAGACCACAGCCCTGTGGCAGCTCTCGGTCTCCGCTAGCAGAATATGGTGATTTGAGCCACGCGCGAGGCTCCCAAGACCGGGGCGGCCGAGCGCTGGGCCGACCTCCCAGGAGCCGCTGCGGGCCTAGAACCCGACTCGCTGCATCGTCACCCGCTGGGCTCCCTGGGAGGCTCCGCAGGGCACGTGCCCACGGCCTTCCCCCGCGGGCTTGGTCACTGGTCTCCCGCCGTTCCCTAGACCCCCACGGCCGTCTCCATGGTCCTTCTCAACTGTATCGTTGATCTCTTCATTTATTTTTAACAATTAAAATGCCGTCCAAGTAAATTTTTTTTTTAAAGATTTTATTTATTTGACAGAAAGAAATCACAAGTAGGCAGAGAGGCAGGCAGAGAGAGAGAGAGGAAGCAGGCTCCCTGCTGAGCAGAGAGCCCGATGTGGGGCTCGATCCCAGGACCCTGAGATCATGACCTGAGCCGAAGGCAGAGGCTTAACCCACTGAGCCACCCAGGCGCCCCCGTCCAAGTAAATTTTTAATGAGATAATGAGATACTCAACCCAAGGAGGATCCGAACTCTCACTCCCTGTGTATGAGCTGCACAGGGACTTCCACGCAGGGGGACTCCAGAAAGGGGATAAAAATAGCAGCTGTGGAGTGAAGAAGCACCCCGGCTGGGTGATCGGGGTTGAGGTCAGCAGTGACGAGTCAGGGGGGCCGCCCGCACAGTGACAACTCTGTTACACCATCTTTCTGATTTTTCTGTAAATACAAACTTTAAATAAATAACTATTTTTTAAAAACCGTCTAACAAACTCACGCCGGGGTGTGTGACGTCAGCCACCGGGATTGTCTCCTGGCTACCACAAGTGGCTCAGTGAACTCCTCTCCGTGCACACTCAGACCTCCGGTTTGAATGCTAGGGCTGTGATGCGTATGAAAGCCAGAACACTGAAGTGTACGGGCAATTTAAGGGACTTTTAGCCAAATTTTGGCCTCTGATACAAGTGTCTTGGCTCAGTTGCATGGAGGAGGGGGCTGTGTGTGAGCTGCTCCCTCCTTCCCACCCCAGCCCAGGACTCCAGGAGCCAGACTGCTCCACCCACGTTGTTAGCTGGGCTGATTGATTTGTAAATCTGAAATGTAAAGCCAGCACAAACAGACTGATCAGTTTTGTGCCCCGTGCTCTGTGTGAAGGATCATTTATAACAGGCTTCTTTTGCTGGGGGCCCCTCCCCGCCCAACCAGTGCTGCCGTGTCTCCAGCCACCAACTCCTGACCTGACCAGGGGTCCTGTCCCGAGGTCGCCCGCCCTCTCTGGGCCAGGATTCCCACAGGGCAGCCCCAATCCTGCAATCACAATCCCTCCTGGAGGAGTGTAGCCTCATGTGGCCCTGTGTCCTGTGGGGTGGTGCCACCAAGAAGCCCCACGGGAAGCCACAGAGCAAGCTCCCTGTGCTGCCCCTTCTGCCACCCAGAATTTCCTGGAATCACAGGGACGTGGTGCCCCCACCGTCCTCCTGGTGTCCAGGCTTCACTCCCATCTGGCTCTGAGGGTCCCTAGAGGGGGTGGGGGGCCTGCTGGCCACTTGGAAGTAACAATGGCTGAGGGGAGAGGAGGCCCCCACAGTGCGTGGTGGTGCACGCAGCTGCCCCCCGCTCCTACCCCGTACTCTTCAGGGCCCAGTTCTGAAGGTGGGGCAATGCATGGGGAATCAGTCTCCCCCCACCCCTGCCCCAGGGCCTCACGCTGTCCCCTCTGGCCCCAGCTGCTGCTCATCGCCTGCCCAATAAGCCCCGCCCGGCTACACCTGGAGATGAGCAGTGTTTATAGGCAACTCCTGTGCGGGGACCGGGTGGGGCCTGGGAAGGACTCTCCGTGGAAACCTGGCAACCAGGGGCCTTCCTGTGTCTGCAGCGTCTAGCAACCATCGAGGCCACATGGTCCTCCAGGGGGACGTGGCCACGCTCCCACACGCTCTCCTCTGGCAGCAGCGGCCAGTCTCCTGGAGGTAAACTCAGCCCAGCTCAGGAATCCTTCAAAGACACCAAGGTTGGGGCTGCTTCTCTCCAGCTGAGCACTTCTTGCTCGCAGATGACCTGAGACCAGGGAGGGACGGTCCTAGGATGCTGGACTCCTCAGTGGCAGATGCAATGACCCGACTCACCCTGAAGCTCTTGGAGAAGGTAAGACTGTGGGGGCAATCATGTTTCCAACAACTTGTCGAAGCAGCACAGATTTAAAAGGTACGTCATGAGACCTGTCAGTATCCTCCTGCTTCCAAGCAAAACACCGTCTCCTGCTTTTCAGCCTTAGGATGGACTGTGGTTTCTCATTTTTTGTTTTTCTCTGCATATGCAGAACCAACTAGGCCCTTCTGGCAGCTCCTCAGCCAGGAGGCTGGATGCACCCATGACCCACAGCATTTTTGGGGCCCACAGAACTCCCCCACAGAGCCTTCCAGCTTCAGTGCTTGGAGAAGAGAGGCCCTGGCTGGTGCGGGATCCACAGCCGCATACGCCGGCCTGGGACCCATCCCGACAGCCCTCTTCCTGTCCTCCACGCATCAGCCCGATGCTTCCTTCTGGGTGGCCCACGGCCAACGTGGACGGACCGGCAGGGGTCATCCCAGGACAGGTTCAGACTGTGCTGCTCAGCCCAGGGCTCAAGAGGTCAGGGGTGGTCAGGGCCATGGGGCTGGCCTGGGTCAGACTCTGCAGACAGTTGCTTGAAAGGAGCCGTTCATATCTGCACACCTGCCCTGAGATTTCAAGGTGGAACTTGTGTTCCCGAATGGAAAGTGTGACGCCCACCGTCCCTAAGAGAGTATGGACGACCCTTGCCACCTCCCCCCTCCCCAACTCTATCCCAGTTACCTCATCTGGGACACTGGTCCCTTCAGGCCCTCTGGGGCAGGTGCTCCGTCCTTGACCCAGACCCACCCACTCGCACTCTCTGTCCTTCTCGACACAGAAACTGGAGCAAGAGCGTGAGACTGTGGAAGGGGATTCTGAGGACTCCCTGCTCCTAGCGGGTAAGAGCCCAGTCTGCTGGAAGCCACCTGGGCACAAGACCTTCTCCTGGGTCCTTCCCTCCTCCTGATCCCAACAAGACTGTCCTGCTACTCCTCCCTTGTGTGCAGGGTTGAAAGGGCTTTCATCTTCACACACACACACACACACACACACACACACACACACACACTGTGCTCTGTCAGTCACACCCTCACAAAAACCCGAGAGGGGATACATTCATCGTTCCCGTCCTGCAGGTAAGAGAAGGGGGTCCAGAGAGGTCTGATCGTCTGCCCCCAGTTGCCCAGCTCAGAAGTGGGCACTGGATTCGAATCCTGTTCTAGGGTGGTGGGTTCGCGGGGTTCAACCTGTCATGTGGGCACACATGAACTAGAGGAGAGGACTGCTCTCCGGGTGGCAGTGTCCAGGTTCAGGGATGTCCTGATAAGGTGCGAGGCAGGCATAGGAGGACGCTGCCTGTTCCTTATTACGGGGAGGAGCGCCTTTAGCAGTGGGAGCTCCAGGAGACGTGTGAGGGCAGCAGGCAGAGCCCAGGGCTCAAATCCAGACAGGGAACCCCAAACCAGGCCACCGGACCACCAGGTAAGAGCAGAACCACTGAGTGTGGACCCGGGCAGTGGAGACCACCCCCGTCCCAGAGGACAGGCTGCTCTGGGCACCCTCAGGCCTGGGGGTGGGGAATGGGTGTGCTGTGCCAGAGGAGGGAAGGCCAGACCCTGTTTGGAGTCTCCTCTCGAGACGGGACCCCTCACTTGGGAAGCTGCAGAGGGCATACCTGAGGCTCGGGGGACCGGACCAGCCCCCGGGCTGCCTGGGGCCCCCAGATGGCTGCTGGCAGCAAGAGGCCAGGCTCACAGTCCAGTCGTGCTCGGGACCAAGCCCCGTGAGGACCTTGTCCCTCTCTCCAGCATCCAGCAGAGCCCGAGGAAAGGCTTCCTGCTGCAGGGCAGTGCGGTGCTCGGCCCTGCGTGGGAACCCGCCTGATGTGACTGCCAGCCCCTCAGAAATAAGATGATCCTTCCACGCAGGAAATGAGGACAGGCCGGACGCAGCCCTGCTGGATGCTCTGAGGAGGAGGCGAGCGCTTCTGTGGAGACTCTGGGTAGGCCACCTGTCACCCTGCTGTGTGGACGGGATCACAACCAGGCCAGAGGCACGTGGGAGGGCTTCCTGGACCCAGCATGAGTCCCCTGCCGGCCATGACTGGAGGGAGCTCGGGGTGGACAGGAGCAGGTGGGACACCACGCCCCGGGAGAGAAGGTCAGGGCCTGCATGCAGGATTTCTCTTGTTCGGGTTCTAGCAGGGGGCTGAGCTGAAGATCCCTGCTTTGGTTGCACGGTGGTTTCCAAGGGCGAAATGCTGGGCAAAGGGCCCCATTCCTACACGAAGTGGGATTTCAAGGTGGCCAAAGGCTTCGTCCAAACTGAACACACCAGCAACAGGGAATGACCGTGCGAAGCGGTCGATCAGGTCCAAATGCGTAGTTACGGTCGAGTGCCGGAAAGAGAGTGTACTCTGTGGGCTGCACAGAAAGACCGACCAGAAATCAGTCGGTTACTCGGTAAACTTAAGAAGTTCTAAGCCCCCTCCCTCCCCGCCACATAAGACGAAGGGCTGTTCCTATGCGTGGCCCCCACGAAGAGCCTGGGGCCCGAGTGGGCCAGGAGGACGCCAAGCCTGCAGCCCTGAGGCCCCTCCCGCCTGAGGACCACAGTCCAGGCATTGGGGCCACGGCGCAGTGCGGGCGAGCCCTGGGCGGCCGTCCCCGCCCCTCCTGGCTGTGGCTGTCCCTCCCTGGGGGCAGCAGTTCTGCCTTATGGTTGCAGGAACAGCGTCTCCTAGAGGAGGCCTCCCAGGCCCAGGCCCGGAGCGGGATGAACAGAGGAGGAGCCCGTGGGTCTGCACTGCCCCCAGAGGTGCCCCCCGTGGGCATCTACTCCCTGCCCCCGCCAGCCCTGGAGCCCCCGCAGATTATCCAATGCTCAGTAAGTGTTCAAGAGCCGATGGCAGAAGCGATGAGGGAGGGTATGGTGCCCACAGAGACTGTCATCTAAGCAGAGAGTGGGGGTCCTCGTGGTCTCAAGGCCCACCTCCGCGGCAGCGTATGAAGGCGCCCCAAGAGGGTCAGTCCCCTTGGAACCAACAGGGGCTGCATTTCCCACGTCCCGGGCACTGGACAGGGAGCTCGGTGGTTCCTCTCTGTGGTCCTCACAGGTGCCCTGGGAACCGGCTTCGGGGGGAGAGGGTGGTCTTATCCCTCATTACAGAGGAGATCCTGGGGTCCCCATCTGGGCTCCTGACTCTCGGGTCCTAGCCTTTACACGAGAGACAGAAGTATTCAGCATCAGGTGGGCCCTGCATTGGGGGAGGAAGTATGTCAACTCTTTCTCAAAATTTCTTAATAACCAGGGGAACCCTAAGACCCTACTCTCTCTTTTTTTAAGATTTTATTTATTTATTTGACAGACAGAGATCACAAGTAGGCAGAGAGGCAGGCAGAGAGAGAGGAGGAAGCAGGCTCCCCTCTAAGCAGAGAGCCCAATGCGGGGCTCGATCCCAGGACCCTGAGATCATGACCCGAGCCGAAGGCAGAGGCTCAACCCACTGAGCCACCCTGGCGCCCCAAGACCCTCCTCTCAAGGGCAGACTTTGAAAAGGTGAAAGAGCTCCAGGTTTGAGAGCCCCACACCTCAAGTCAGCACTCCGGTGGCAAGCCGTGGAACGCAACCCAGACTTTCTTAAGCAGAAGAGAATATATCTGAGGGCAGGCGAATGTAGGCAGGGACAGAAGCCCGGGTCGGGGCTCATCCAGGCCCTGGGGAGAAGAGAAGGCTGAGGAGGTGGGCAGGACCACATTGCAAAGGTTCTGGACTAGCTGGCTGGGGTGACGGTTAGCGCTGACTGACCGGGCCTGTGACCTGGAGGGTGTTTGTTTTGGAAGAAGACGTGAAGGCACACGGCACAGAGTGGGAAGGGGCAACACCAGATCGGGGACAGATCTGGGCTAACTGAGCTCCCAGAGCCCCTGTTGCCCCAGGGCTGTGTCCAGGCTCCAGATCTCCCCTTCCCAGCGTGCGCCTTTGGATCTTCCAATACTGGAACCTCCTTCTAGGAAGGGTGGGAATGGTGGGGGTTGGGGCATGAGGTCCCCCTCATTCCCAAACACGTTCACTGAACTCCCAGCAAGCCACGGGGGCCCAGTTCTGCGTGCGTCTTTCCATCCACCCCAGGGACAGCAAAAGAACAAGTAGGGCCTTTGGTTGGTACTGTGAATTTCCTTGATGCTGGACTCGGAGACCCTGAGGCAGGGTGTCCCCCAAGCCAGGGCAGCTGTAGCTTCAGCCGTCTACGCAGCGGATAGCAACGTGCGGCCATGGGCCGAAGCTCCCCTGCCCTCTGACATTGTGCGACATGTATGCTGAGGATGGTCTTAGCTTTTAAATGTGTGGGGGAGGGGCGCCTGGGTGGCTCTCCCTCTCATTGTGGCTCTCCCTCTGCTCGTGCTCTCTCTCTCTCAAGTAAGTGAAATCTTCTGAAAAATGGGGGAAAATCAAAAGAAGAAGAACGGTTTGTAAAGTATAAAAATGATGTGAAACGTGCATCTCAGTGCCCACAGTGACATGTCACCAGCTCCGTCCCGCCTGCGGTGGCCGCTCTGGAGCCCCACCAGCTGAGAGAAGCCATTGCTGCCCAGGCCAGAGGGCCCACAAAGCCACAACCATTCCCTGCTGGCCCTCTGCAGAGGCTTAAGCCATCATTTCTGGGAACTGGGAAAGAAAGGACAAGGTCAGGGCCTTGTTCACTCAGAAGAGGAGTGAGATGGAAAGTCTTCAGTGTCTGACCAACACCTGCTGTGTGTGCTTCTCACTGGAGAGAAGCTAGAGGTTATTTTCACGACCTGTTCCTGGGATGCCTCTGTTCAAGCAGAATCAATGAAACCAGACATCAGCTTCCTCTCCTAAAGACAGCATGTGGGAAACATTACACATACCGTGTGTTGGGGCGCCTGGGGGCTCAGTCGGTTCAGTATCTGACTCATGATTTTCGGCTCAGGTCATGATCTCGGGGTGGTGGGATCAAGCCCCACATTAGGCATTGGGTTCTGCACTGGGCGTGGAGTCTGCTTATGACTCTCCCTCTCCCTCTGCCATCCCCCCACCCACCACCACCCACGCGCACGCATGGGGTCTCTCTCTTTCTCTCTTAAAAAAATACACTGTGTTAGTGTACTGGGGCTCCCATAAAAAACCACCACAGACAGGGCAGCTTAAGCAACAAATTTATTTTCTCACATTTCTGGAGGTGGAAGCCCAAGACCAGGGTGCTGGCCGATCAGCGTCCGGGCGTGAGTTCTCCTCCCATCTTGCACATGGATGGCTTCTCCCTGTGCTCACATGGCAGACAGAGAAAGCTCTCCAGCATTTCCCTTTATCAGGATGTCACCCTAATGACCCCACTAAACCTTTGTAAGCTCTTCACAAGCCTGATCTCCAAATACAGTCACACTGGAGGTTAGAGCTTCAACATAAGAATTTTGGGGGTGGACACAGACCTTCATAACATATCATGTCCTAGGTAATACGCAGATTCAAATATCTATCTGTTCAGCAACCTGTTCAATGCGTAGGGTTAACCGTTTCAAGTTCCTCTTGGATGGATGGAAAGATGGGTGAGTGGGTGGGTGCATATCGTAGGTCACAGTCTCCCAGGGCGCGTTCAGGGAACTAATCATCTGGCTCTTTGTAGGGCCCTCAGCCTCCTGCCACTATCATTCAACAGCTACCCCAGCAGCCCCTCATCGCACAGATCCCCCCTCTCCAGGCCTTCCCCACTCAAAGATCAGGAAGTATTAAGGAAGGTAAGTCTTCCGTGTTAATAATGTTATGGGTTTATAAAATTCTCTAAAGAAACAAAAAATATTTTGTAGACAGCATAGTCCTTTAGGGTCGGCATTTGGCTACTCAGTCAACGCTACGTAGTAGCAACATGAAATAATTTTAACTTTAAGAAACCCTTATAGGTATCTTGGAGGGAAGAAAACAAGAACTGGGAATCGAGAGAAGTGGGCCCAGCCCCAACCAGCTGTAAAAACCTTGGCTAAATTGCTTCTCCTTTTCAATGAATTTTGTTTTGTTTTGCTTTGTTGGGGGGCAGAGGGAGAGAGGGAGTCTGAAGTGGGCTCCCCGGGAGCACAGAGCCCAATGCCCACCACCGATGCTGCCATGCGGGATCGATCACATGACCCTGAGGTCATGACCGGAGCCACGGAGCCATGGAGCCGCCCACTTGCCCCTTCAATGAGTTCTAGAAACTTGAGATCTAAAACCGCCTCATGGAGAGAGCAGGGTAAACTGCACAAATTCGAAGTGCGCAGCTGGACGTGAGCTGACGCGTGTGCACGTCCATAGCCCCAACTCGGCAGGCAGTGAGCGCGTGTCCCCCCAAGCCCCGCTCCCCAGGACTAATGGCGTTGGGCTCGGGAGCGCAGCGGTGTGTAGACTCCTCAGGTCCATATTCTCAGTCCTGTGCTCACGGCGGCCACCAGCTTCCATCGTTCCTGTGGGCCCTCGAGCGTGGTCACTCATGCCAGGGCGTGTCCAGGGCCTCCCCGCGGCTCAGCCAGGGCCCCAGCCCCCCGCCTCCCTGACGCGCTTCAGTGCGGGTCCGTGGTTCCAGATACCCGAGCGCCTGGACCTGCTTTCTCAGCGGCTGGAGACCGACGCCTGCGCGCCTTCATGGGGGTAGAGGGGGAGGAGATGGAATCGGGGTGAAAAGTGACATCTTCAGTATGTGTCAGTATGTGCCCGTATGTGTCCATCTGTGTCCATACATGTCCGTATGTGTCAGTACGTGTCTGTCTGTGTCCGCACATGTCCATACGTGTCACTATGTATCTGTCAGTACATGTCCGTATGTGTCCATATGTGTCAGTATGTGTCCGTACGTGTCAGTATGTGTCCATATGTGTCCGTACGTGTCCGTATGTGTCCGCATGTCTCTTGCTGTTTCAAGTAGCGTCAAGTCCTCACCCCACGCCTTACCCCCGACAAGCTCCGATGGTGGGAGCAGGAGATCCGAAGCAGCGGACCCGCCACGGAACTCGTGTGCACACCCGGCGGTGTCCGAGGCCGCATCCCCTCCGCCACACCTGCTGCCCCGTGAATCCATCCAGACCCGGCCAACCCGCCGCTCTCTCCCCTCCTGGCTCTCCCCGGACCCCACACCCCCCCAACCACTAGCGGCCATTAGGCTGTTCTCTGTACTTACAGGTCTGACTCTGCTTATCGTTTGTTTATTCATTTTTCCCGTTCATTGGGCTTTAACATGAGGATGAGTGTGTGGGGCCCGGAGCCCCCTCTCCGCAGCGGTGGGAGGACCTTGCAACACCCTCGCCCCCCACCTCCCACCCAGCCACTGCTGCTCTTTGCTTTCATTTCTGTTTTCTTTTAAGATTTTATTTATTTGACAGACAGAGATCACAAGCAGGCAGAGAGGCAGAGAGAGAGGGGGAAGCAGGCTCCCCGCTGAGCAGAGAGCCCGATGCGGGGCTCGATCCCAGGACCCTGAGACCATGACCCGAGCCGAAGGCAGAGGCTTTAACCCACTGAGCCCCCCCGGCGCCCCTCATTTCTATTTTTTTAAAAGAGTTTATTTATTTATTTGACAGAGAGAGACAGTGAGAGAGGGAACACAAGCAGGGGGGTGGGAGAAGCAGGCTCCCCGCTGAGCAGGGAGCCCCACGAGGGGCTCGATCCCAGGACCCTGGGATCGTGACCTGAGCTGAAGGCAGATGCTTAACGACCCCACAGGTGCCCCACTTTTTCTCGTTCAGAACAACTTCCCAAACTAGACACCAGAAATCACCCCTGACAACCTACTCACCCTTTTTTGTATTCAGACCACCCTCTGGAATCATCTTCTGTCATCTTGAAATAAATCCTTTCCACGTTCCTTGACAACGGACTCTTGAAGCTCCTCAGTGTTTGTTTTCTAGCAAATGTTTTTATTTCCCCTTTTTCTTAAATACCAGTTTTGCTGGATATTCAGATCTAAACTGATAGTTATTTTCTCTCACCACTTCCTGAGGGCCCTTGTGATTATGTTGGGCCTACCTAGATAATCCAGGATAGTCTCCCCACCTCAGGATTCTTTTTTAAAAATTAATTAATCTTAAAAACTGTGGCGGGGCACCTGGGTGACACAGTCAGTTAAGCGTCCGACTCGTGGCTTCAGCTCAGGTTGCAACTTCAGGGTCATGAGATCGAGCCCCACGTTGGGTTCTTTGCTCAGTGGGGAGTCTTCTTGGGATTTTCCTTCCCTCTGCCCTTCCCCTGCCCCCAGTGCATGTGTGCTCTCTCCAACCCCCTCAAGTGAATACATAAATCTTTAAAAAATTGTGGTAAAAACACATAAAATTTCCCATCTTAAACACGTTTAAGTAGTGTTAACTGGTTCCCCATGGTTGAGTGATAGATCTTCAGAACTTTCCATCTTGCGTCCAGATCCCCCTCCTACCAGCGCCCAGCACCCACTCCTACTCTGTCTTGGAATTGGATAACTCCAAGTACCTCAGAGGAGAGGAATCCTACAGTATTTGTCCCTCTGTTGCTGGCTTATTTCGTGTGGAATAACGAACGGCTTCAAGTTTCATCATGTGGTACCAGCTGGCAGACTTTCCCGCCTTTTTAAGGCTGAACAGTTCTCCATGGTATGCATAGACCATGGTCTTTTATCCCTTCATTTGTTGATGGACACTTGGGTTGTTTGCATCCAAAGTTCTTTTTTTTTTTTTTTTAAGATCCTATCTATTTACTTGAGAGAGAGTATGAGTGGGGGGCAGAGGAAGAGGGACAAGTGGGAGCCCGATGCAGGGTTCATTCCCAGGACCCCAGACCATGACCTGAGCTGAAGACAGATGCTTCACTGACTGAGCCCCCCAGGCACCCCAATCCAAGACTCCTAATCACATCAGCAACATAACTGTCACCACGTAATGAAACTCAGGTCACAGGTTCCAGGTATGAGGATATGTACACGCCAGGGGCCATTGTTCAGCTGACCACGTTCTCCAGTTAAGGTTTTTTTTTTTTTTTTTTAAAGATTTTATTTATTTATTTGACAGAGAGAGAGAGAGAGAGAGAGAGATAGAGACCACAAGCAGGCAGAGAGGCAGAGACAGAGAGGGAAGCAGGCTCCCCACTGAGCAGAGAGCCCAATGTGGGGCTCGATCCCAGGACGATGGATGGGTCCTTTTTGATACACGGACTGCCAGTCGCTTTCTTTGTGGTGTCTCTGGATGAACACAAGTTCTTAATTTTTAATAAGGTTTTGTTTTTCAGGCTTTTTCCTTTGTGGGATTGGGGTCTTTGCTGTACTGTGTAAGAAGCTGTTACCTACTCAAGGTCATGAAGACATTCTACAGTTTGGTTTACTTTTCCCATTGAGGTTTATGAACCACCTGGAATAGATTTTATGAGCTCTGAGTTAGGGACTGGTGTTATCTTTGCCACAGATACCAGATTGGCCGAGTGCCATGTCCTGAAGACTGTGTTTCCCCATGACACCAATGTGTGCCCCTTATCCTGAGGCAGTTACACCGTGTTTGTCCCTGTCTGGACCTTCCTCTCATCCAGTCTTCACAGGCTGGTTCTGCTCAGTGGGAAGCTTTCCGGGGACACATGAGCTGGCCAGGCCCGGCCCCACGTGGGTCTCCTCAAGGGTCTTCACCCAGAACGGGGCTGCCAGACTCAGCCTCTCCACGTTCTCATCCTGCAGGGAGGAGAGTTCCCACCGCTGTATGGCTGTGGGAACCTGGCTCCGTGCCTCCACCCCCACCCCATTGCTCTCAGGCCTGCGACAAAATCTGTTAATCAAGGGTCTCCGGAGAAACAGAACCAACAGGGCGCGTCTGGAGAGAGAGAGAGAGAGAGACATATTTTAAGGACTTAGCTGGTGTGATTATGGAGGCTCGGCTAGCCGCCGCAGGGAGGGCAGGCTAGAGACAGGGGGCCCACTCCAGTGGGAAGGCTGCTGTGTACCCCACTCCTGGACACCCCTGAAGGAGTCCTGTCCACACCACCAGCCTCCCCTTTTTTGACTGGGGATGTGAGTGGTTTTAGGCACCTGCCTGCCTCTAGTCTTGGGGGCTGCCTGATTTCCAGGGGCCTCGATGTTGTGGAAAGAACCCATGTTTACCTCCCACACAGACAAAAACGTGTTTGCTTCATAGTATCCAGGACTGGTGAAGAGATTTGTTTCCTGGGGCCTCAGGCCTGGGAGCTGAAAACAACAGAGATGTGCTCTCTCCCTGTCTGGAGGCCGGAATTCTGAAATCCGGGTGTCACATGGCCAGGTTCCCTCCAGAGGCTCTTGGATGGGTGGGGGGGGTCCTTCCTGCCTCATCCAGCAGCGGCTCCAGGTGGTCCTGGCTTGTGGCCGTGTGGATCCCATCCCCGCCCCGTCTCCATGCGGCCTCCCCTCTGCTGTGTCAAGCCTCCCTCCGCCTCTATTATGAAGACACTTGTCTTGGATGTACGGCCTACCTGGATAATGCAGGATGATCTCACTTCAAGTTTCTTGGTCATGTCTGCAAAATTTTCTAAATGAGGTCACATTCGGAGGTCATGGGGGTTAGGATGTGGGCACAGCTTTCGGGGGCCACCATGTAGCAGAAGCGGAGCAGCCTCTCGGAGCCCAGCCGGACGCCCTCAACAGCCCACCAGGCACACACACCCTCCAGCCCAGAAACTTCAGAACCTCAGAACCATCCCCGGACACCTGTGCCTGGAGCGCCTCTCGCTGGTGGAGCGCTGAGTGCGTCTCGGCCTCTGCGAAGCCCTAAAGCCTTGTGCTGGGCCAGGCCTGATGATGTGCGTGGGGTGTGAGTCATGGGGCCCCTCTTACCTGCCTCTTCTTTCAGACATGGTGGAGATGATGCTGATGCAGAACGCCCAGATGCACCAGGTCCTCATGCAGAACCTGATGCTCCAAGCCCTGCCCTCAGCGTTTCTGCCCTCGCAGGGGCCACTGGCAGCGCCCCAGCATCCCACCCCCCAGGTAGGCTCAGCTGGGGCAGGTCTGGAGGTAAAGGAGGCTGCCTGGATCAAAACCAGAGGGCCTGGGTGGCTTTTCTTCTGCAAGTCCATGCATCGGTGTGACTCTGAAAAGCACAGGTCTGACTCCTGAGTCTGTGACCTGCTTGTGAAACCCTCTGGCGCTCGCTAGTCCCACCTAGAAGCGGAAGGAGTTCCGCGGTTTGGGGCCCAGGAAGCTGCCTCCCAGAGCTGATGAGCTCTGCTGGAACCTCCCTCCCCGCTTCCCTTCCTTGTCCCCCCTCCACTTCCTCTCCCTCTCCTCCCTCCCTCCCCACCCTCCTCTCCTCGCCCCCTCCTTCCCCTCAAAACGGGCTGGTGTGTGTGCTGTGCTGAGGACCTACAGCGGGTCCCCTTGTCCTCCCGCGAGCCTAGAGGCAGAAGCCGCCCTCCGTGCACCACCACCACCACTACGCGCCCCCAGCCCCCCTGCAGGCCATCCCAGCACCTGGCTCCCTGGCCGGGTACTCCACGTGGCCCACGGTAGTCTCAGCCACCACCCTCCCACCTGCCTCCAGCTTCCTGCCAGCCCTCCACCACTTGGCCGGGCCCACCTCAGCAGCCCTTAGCCCGTAAGTCAAGGCCAGCTTCCTGGTCTGTGGGGTGGGAGTACCCTAGAGCCTGGGTTGCACCTCCTCACCCCTGCTGACAAGCCAGTGGGCCTGTCTTTACCTGGGCCCGGGCCGAAGCAGAGAATTTGGAAAGGCCCTCCTGTCGTCTTGCAGGTGGGTCCTTGCAGCCCTGGGCCCTGGAGGTCCCAATCTGAGAACGGACCCCATGCCACCCTCCAGGGGAAGCTGCTTGTGGCTTGGGGCATCCGTCCAGCCCAGTATGAGCAGGGCTGTGGGGACCTTCCCCTGAGCCCCGGCCGCATGGCTCACCTATAGTGTGGGGTCTGCGGGCCGGGCCCGGGCAGTGACCGCACCCGCATGTCCCAGCTTCCCCAGGGTGGCATCTGATGGCGGCCAGCCCGCGCCAGCTCCGGGCGTGTGAGCCCCCACACGTGGACTCTGGTGAGCCTCGGGGCCTGGTTCCCTACTGGGTGCGGTCGGGGAGGCCCGGCAGAAGGCTGCAGCCTGGTCCCCGGGGGCAGGGCGGAGAGTCCGGTGGGAGTACAGGGTTCCGTCAGGAGAGACGGCCCAGGAGCGCGGAGAAAAGGCGGATGGAGTTAGCTGCTTACATGTTTAAGCCTTCCCGTGGGAGAAACCCCATAAACAGGGTCAAATATGACACTAACTGGGCCCTCTGTCTGCCCCCTGGGGGGGGGCAGGGGGGAGGGCTCCTGCTGAGGGGATGGCACAAGGCCACCTGCCCGGGTCTCGCCGGAGACGTGTCTTCACTGTGTGTCCTTGCTGGCCAGCACCGCCCGGTCTTCTGGAAGGGAGAGGCTCTGGGCTGAACGTGGTTCCTTCAGTGGGGCCTGAGGAAAGGGGGCTTTCTCTGCCTGGTTGCTCCTCTGGTTGTCGGGGCTTCTGAATGTCACCGTTACTCTTTCTTCACTTTTCCTGACCTTTGTTTTCTGGGTGGAATCGTGTTCCCTTGTTGTTTTAGTTATTTATTTTTAAAGATGTATTTATTGATTTACTTATTGGAGAGTGTGTGCGCACGCGTGGAGGGGCAGAGGGAGCGGAAGAAGCAGGCTCCCCGCTGAGCGGGGACCCAGGACCCTGAGGTCATGACCTGAGCCAAAGGCAGGCGCCCCATCCCTTGCTGTTGTGACATTTTCATGTAAATGTCATTTTTAAGTGCTACGCGTGTTCTCATCGGCCCCTTTTGGCGGCAACTCTCTTGTGCCCTAAGTTGCAAGGCGTCAAGTGCCCACCACCCTCTCTACCTCCTCGGACGCTGCAGGCTCGCCGGAACGCTGGCCTGGGAAGCAGATGGAAGCAGGTGGCTGAGGACCTGTCCTGCCGCTCAGCTCCGTCGGGGGGGCCGCCCTCAGGGAGCCTCCCAGGCTGGACAGTGGCAGGTACCCGCACGGTGTGCCCGGCACAAACGTGCTTTGTGAAATGCGATTAAAGGTCTAACTCAAGGGGTGCCTGGGGGGCTCAGTCCCTTAAGTGTCTGCCTTCGGTTCAGGTCATGATCTCAGGGTCCTAGGATCGAGCCCTGCATCGGGCTCCTCGCTCAGCAGGAGGCCTGCTTCTCCTCCTGCTCCCCCTGCTTGTGTTCCCGCTCTCGCTCTATCTCTGTCAAATAAATAAAATCTTTAAAAAAAAAAAAAGGTCTAACTCAATTTCTTATTTTCACATTGACGTTTTCTAACATGGTTTTCCTATTTGGTTTTATTTCTCAACATAATTATTAATTCAATACAGGGAAGAAGTTTGGCAGAAGCTGGTTATCTTGGCCTAATAAATTGGAAGAACCGTTTTGTCTGCGTCCAACGGAAAACCCAGTATTTCCCTGTGAACCTCCGTTACTTGCACACAGAACAGACGCTTGTAGTCACGGATTCTGCAGCAGCTGGGGGTTCTGCGGTCCCACTCGGTCCTGACACCATCCACCTGCAGAGGACTCAGTCCCACGAGACTGCCCCGTGCCAGCTGCCAAACTCAGGTTGTCCCCTGTGCTTCTGACCTACTGGGTCAGGGAGCAGCGGTTCCCATAAGCCCCTTTTTGGGTTTGATTAGAGCCGCTCACAGAACTCAGGCAACGCTTACCAACATCGACTAGTCTACGTAAGGGGGTGATAAAGGGTGGAGCGGGTCTGGGAGGGTTGTGAGCACCAGAGCTTCTGTCCCGTGGAGTTGGGGTGCGTCACCCTCTCCGTGTGGACGTGTGCCCCCAGCGGGAAGCTCTCTGAACCCTGTCCTGTTGGGATTCATGGGGCTTCCTCATGTAGGCCTAAGGGAGACAACTGCATTTCTGAACACACAGAGGAGAGCAGAGGCCAGGGAACCCAACGGACGCCTGAAGCAGGAGGGACCTGTCCTGGCAGAGGCTGGGTTTGCGGAAACTCTGGAACCAGGCCACTGTGGCCAGGTCGGGGCAGACAGAAGTGCCACGTGGAATCAAATAGCCAAGGTAGAGCCCCAAGGCTGGGTGGGGCGGCCTTTTCTCAGATTTAGGTCAGATGGACACTGGGTGACATGCTCTGTTGTGTTCAGTGACATATAAAAACCCCTCTGAATCTATAAAAAAGAAAAATCAATAGAAAAATAAGCATTAGGGACAGCTGGGTGGCTCAGTCAGTTAAGTGGCCAGCTTTTGACTTTGGTTCAGGTCATGATCTTGGGGTGGTGAGATGGAGCCTTGCATCATCCATCAGGCTCCTTGCTCAGTGGGGAGTCGGCTCAAGATTCTCTTTCTGTTCCCCCGAAATAAATCTTTAAAAAAAGAAAAAGAAAAATGAGCACAAGACAAGCAGTTAGTGAAGAGCTCTGGTCACTGATGACGAGAAAAGCAGGACAGTCCCGGTGTGCGCACAACCAAGGGAGGGCTGGGGTGTGTGGAGGCCGAGGTCTGGCCCCCAGCTCACTGCTATGGCTGCAGGGGGAGTGACCAGGTCCTTTGGAGGCACTGGGCATTGCCTGATAAAGCTGGCTGCCCTGCCCATACTGCCCCCAGCTGTTCTGCTCTGAGGCCCAAACCCAGGGGAACTGTGCTCCCGACTGCCTGTGCCCCCGACATGACCATAGAGGCACGGGGGATGTATGACATTCCTGCTGACAGGAGTAGTGGGTCTCGGGATCCCTTCATTCTCTTAAAAAGAACTGCAGAGCCTAGAGCTCGTGGGGTCATCTTTGTCTTTGCCGAGACATTCTGCTGAGAACAAGCTCCACTACAGGCTCACATACCCCACAGGGCTCCACTACAGGCTCACATACCCCACAGGGCTCCACTACAGGCTCACATACCCCACAAGGCTTCAGGGGTGCCACAAGCCCAATTCTGGGTCCTTGAGGGGCTGGGGAAAATCCAGGCTGACAAGATATCCAGTGGGAAATGCATTTTCATGTGGATTCACGGGAAAAACCAGATTCTCAGAATTGTAGTAACCCTGGATTAGGGCCAAAAGTCTCTGAGAGGCTGCGTTTCGTTGCCGTGACCTCTTCAGAGCTCCTTGGCAGAATTCGTGGTGCTGTTGCCAACACTGGTCCCTGGGAGGCCCAGGCGGTGCAGGCCCAAGGTTGGCTCAGCGCACCTCTGTGGCCTGCTCCCACGATGCTCTGGGCCCAGGAGCAGCTTAGATAAGGCTCTGTGGTGCCTTCTGGGTTTATTGTACCAGAAGAGAAGGCAGGAAGCAGTAACAGGGAAGAGGATGGGAAGCAGCAGTCAAGCTCAGGGTGCCTCCCGGAGCTGGGAGACACTCAGCTCCGTGTGGACATGGGGATCTGGGGCTCAGAAGCTCTGGCCACAGCGGTGCCATGGGAAAGAGGACGTAGGCTGCGCCTGCCTCAGGAGCCAGGATGGGCAGGAGATGTCGGCTGTAGGTCACCTGGCTGAGGTTGTCTAGGGGCTTGCAGCCCCGCTAAGGGTCAGCCTTGTGCCTCCCCTCATAAAGGCACCCAGCGAAGGCTCCAGGTCACAGTGCTCTTAAGGGGTAAGTGGAGACTATAGCCAATGGGTGTCTTGCAGGAAGGAGGGCGAGGGGCACATCCTCCCTGGGCTGCCGTTCCACTCTCCGGAGCAGGCTGTAGAGGCAGGAGAGAGAAATGCCTCTGGCTACAGGCAGAACCTCGGGATGAGGGCCCTGTGCTCCAGCTCTACAGCCTAAGGGCTTAGAACTACTTTATCTGCAACAGCGAAATGACATTTGCTAGGTTCTGAACGAAGTCATGAATGGACATGTCTTTTACACTTTCACAAAACGGTCAGGCTCCACTCGTGCCATTTTGCCCCCAAGTGTGGGTCGCTCCTGAGCCCCACAGGGCACCAGGGACCAGCAGGGCCCTCCGTTTGGTGGAGTCCCTGGTCCTGGGGGGCCTGAAAGAGGAGGGTCCATCTGCCATCCACCTGCTGTCTCTGGACTCTATAGAGAATCCGCCGGGTGCCACCCGGGTGCCGGGCCTCCAGCACCCTCAGAAGAGGCCCCTGCTCAGGGGCTGTAGCCTGGTCCCGGTGAGCCGGCTCAGCTCTTCGAGAACCTCCTTCTCCTTCTGGAACATCTGAAACAAAGGAGTGCAAACCAACTTGGAGACCCCCGCCCAGCCTGGCCCGGGGGTGTCCTCTGGGGGAAGCCCTTCCCTAGAGCCCGTGTCCACGGCTGTGGCGTGAGGGTCCTCAGCCGCGTGGCCCCCCAGAGCCAAAGCGCAGGACCTGGTTCTGCTCACCTTCACCCAGCATGTGCACACGGAACATGGACATGCTGCCTGCAGGGTGAAGGGTGGGGCCGGCAGCGGGACTGGGGGCCAGGGGCCCAAGTAATGGTCTGGGGCAAAAGAAGAGGAGACCCTGTCTGGGGCTGCAGGAGAACAGGCCAGACGGGTCAGCCGGGCCCAGAGTCCACCGGAGAGAGATGTGTGAGGACTGCCCCTCCTGGGGGAGAGAGTGCTCAGTGCCCCGGGAAGCCCTAGGAGGGCTGGGGTCCCTACTGGAGGTGACATCACAGGCTCTCTCTGAGATGCTGCCAGAGGGGGGCGAGGGGGCCACAGCAGGGCCAGCCTCTCACCTGGAGGGGAAGCAGAGCCACAGTGTCCCTGGTGGGGACCCAGCCTGAGATGGCTACATGTGCAGACAACTGGATCAGACTTGTTTGTTCATTGAAAAACAATTTTTGTGCCTTCCAGAGAGCCTGATTATTTGATTACAAATATAATTTGAGTTTATTAAATACAATATGATGCATATACCAACATACACCCTTAAAATGGGGCAAGTATTGTCACTTCTCAGGGAAACAAACAGCGAAATAACTTTACCCTGTAGGTCTCTCTCAGATGCCTGCATCTTCTGAATCCTGTCCCACCTAATAAATATCACAATTTCTCTTGTAAAGAATTTTTGACTTTTAGCCATTAGAATTTTATAGAATTTATAAAATTCAGTCTCCCCGGCTCAGATCTTCCTTTCAACAGCAAATAAGTAATACAGTTAGTAGCATTCAGAGAGCCCCATATTTTAAACAATGTTAGTCTTTTGTTTTGTTTTGATAAAGTAGGCATTTGTAAAATCCTCAATTTACTGCTTTCCCCCCAGTTTTGGTTTTTGTACTTGACTGCAGGGCAGCTCAGGCAGCCCTAGTTCCCAGGGTACTTGGCACGCAGGGCACTGCACCCTCTGTATCCTGAGGGACCAGGGGACAGCTCCTACCTTCTGCCACTCAGCCTCTGTGCTGTGTGTGAAGCCCAGCAGATGACAGAGCCCGTGGGTGGCAGTCACCTGTCAGAACAATTAAAAAGCTGTTTCAGGAACTGATCATGACCGATCCTTGAGCCAAGGGTGGGGGTGGTGGAGGGGAGGAGGAGGGAAGGGAGGGAGAAGTCAGCCCATGCACGGTGGGCGCTTAGGAACCTAGGGGTAGGTGGAGGGTGCCCGGGGCTGAGAAGGTGCCTATGTGCAGCTAGGGGCGAGGAGGAGAGGGTCCCAGGCCTGGTGGGCTGGCCCTCCACTGAAGGGCATGGGATCTCCCGGAGGTGGGGGGCACAACAGCCCTGCAGGGGTGCGCCGCTGGCATGGCGATCGCAGAGCACAAGCCTGTGCTGAGCAACTCTGTCCGTGCCAGGGCTCCTGCCACGCCCCCGGCCAGAAAGTCCTATTGCCCAGGGAAGCAGGCTTCTGACCTGTTTCCTGCCCTCTCCCTCACCCGACACTGCTAGGGAGGCAAGCAGACCCAAGGCCTAGGCTTGCTCTCTGTGGGATGATGAGAGAGGGTCCTTGCTGCCCCTGCTTGTAGGTCTCCCTCCCCCAATAACCCCTGTCCTCCACGTGAGAGTGTGGAGACGGGCGTCCCATCCATGGCCCTCTTTTCAGGCCCTGTTTATTTCAGCTTCCCACTCACAGTGAGGACGTCAAAGTAGTCCTCATCTCCTTTGCACTGCTGGAAGATATACTCCACTCCTAAGAAAATGTCTCCCAAATTGTAGTCATCTGGAGTATCAGGCTGGGGAAGTTCCCCTGCTTTTATATTCTGCAAATGAGGAAATACAGATTTGGAGAACAGGACCTCAGGAACTAACCTGATGACAGGCCTACAGATTTCATTCTGGAAGACCCCCTACTCAGTAGTCCCAGGGCAGGTGAGGGGTGGAGGGACTACAGCAGAGTCCCTCTTCACAGGTGACCTAGGACAAACGAGCTGCTTTCCTCTATCTCTTTCACCTTTTTAGCACACAATCACACAGGCCCACACTGGTACAACTGTGTATTTCTGTTCTTTGTTATCTTGTCCGAGACGGTCTTCCACGTTTCCCACAAAAGAAACGACCAGTCCCTCCATCTGAAGGCTGCTCACACTAAGCTAGTCCTGCAGATGGATGTTAAGGGTATTAATATGTTCCCTCCCTGTTAGGAAAAAATACCAAGGGACTATTTAAGAGGTTTATACTGTAACATCTTCCTTAGCGGTGACACTAGCGGATCACACAGTACATGCGTGCTTCCAGCGTTCTCGAGTGTACCTGCAAAGTGCTTTCCAAAAGGGTCCTTCTCGTTTATGCTCTAACAGTGTGGGAAGCCTTGGACGAACCACGTGCATCGGGGGAGGTAGTAGCCTAATCGCTATCTTCTATTTGCTGAAAATATTTTCTCAGTGTTGTTTTTCATTTTCAGTGAAAAGATTCAGTGTTATCCACATTTTTCAACCATACGTGTTTGTTACTGTATCCCGCTTAAAATTCCCGAAGCAGGGGTGCCCGGCCGGCTCAGAGGGTGGAGCACAGGCCTTCTGACCTCGGGGGTGTGAGTCTGACCTTGGCTGGGGGTGCAGAGGACTTACAACCAACAGCAACAACAACAAAGAAAAATCTTTAAAAACACCGCAGAGGCTCTCGACTCCTCTCCTGACCCCCCGACAGCGTCAGGACACGGTTCGCCCCGGGCCAGCGGTGTTGCCGACAGGGGTGGCCCCGCCGGGCCCTGCTCACGGGTGTTCGAGGTTTTCGAAAACTCAGGACCAGAGCATCCGCCGCGGAAGCCGGACCCGGGAACCGCCTCACCTCGTGGAACGGGAAGGACAGCACGTCGGTCGGGGCGTCCCGGGCCCTGTAGACGCCGTTGATGCGCCGAATGGTCCTGTTGTCCACGCAGACGACCGCCAGGTCGAAGCGCTGCACCCCGAGGGCCGCCCTGAGCAGCTGCAGCCGGCGGCGGAGCGGCGCCCTCCGGACGGGGACCGCGCGCTGCAGGTTGCGGAGCAGCAGAGCCATGTCGGGGCCGCGGCCGCGCGCGCTTGCGGGACGCCCCGAGGTCGCGGCCCCGAGCGGACGCCCGCCGGGGAAGCGCCGCGAGTCCTGCCGACGCTCACGCCAGCCCGTCCTGGCCGGGAAATTCGCAGAGAATCGGTGTTTCTCCCCGAGACGACGCGGGGGCGCGGGGATGGGGACGGGCGGCCGCGGGCTCGCGCACCGGGGCCGAAGCCAGCGGCGCCCCCCGGGACCGCGCGCGCCGGAAGCCCCACGGCGCCAGACCAGCGGAACCCGAGCGCAGCGGGGCCGGGGGGGAGGGGGGCCGAGCCGCGCGGACGGACCGGAAGTCGGTCCGCGGCGTTTTCTGTCCCCGGCGCGCCTCAAAGGGTCGGCTCCGGCGGCCGCGATCCTGGCCTGCGCCTCCAGCCGGGCGCCGAGGGGGCCCCGGGGCGGCGGCGGGCGGCGGGCCTGCGAGTCGCTGAGCCGGACGGTGAGCGCGGCGCAGGGTCCGGCCTGGGCGGAGGCCGCCTCCTCGTCCTGCGGCCTCCCCGGCCCCGCCGCCCGGTGTCGTCCGCGGAGCGGGCCTGGGGCGCGGGGCCGCGGGCGATTGTCGGGGAGCGCGGCCTCCGCTGCCCCGCCCTGCCCCGGTACGGGGGCGACCGCTCTGCAGGGGCGCTCGGTCCTCTGAGCCGGGTCGGGGGTCTCCGCAGGTACAGCCGCGCCGTTGATGTATCCGGTTTCTGGTTTTGGGGAGAAAATCGGGAGGAGACGCTGCGGGGTGCCTGGAGGTCTCCGCCGGCGGAGCCGGGACTCGCGATCTCGGGCCGAATTCGAGTCCCCGGCGGGTGTAGCCATTACTGGACGCGGCGAACTTTGCGAGCAGGAAACGGGGGAAACTGCAACACTGACGCGCCCCACGGCGCTACATTGTAGCTCTCGGGCCGCGGGGCGGGAGGACCCGCTCGGACTGCGCGGCCGCGCTCGCTTTCTCGTCGCGGTTTGGGGTTCTCGCGCCACTCACCCACTCAGTAAAATAATTTCAATTTTTTTCTCAGTCTAAAGGAGGACGCGTTAAGCCTCCGGTAACAAAGTAATCGGTTCTTCACCGCTGCTCCAGGCGCGCCCCGCCCCCCCCAGGCCCCCCGCTGGCTCTCAGGAAAGAATACTTAGCCCTTTGGTTTGCCTGATTTTGAATTATCCTTACAGTGTGATTACAAATTCTGCTCAGTCTTCCAGCGGGACCTGACTGATGATGTGGATTTTTGTCTTGCAGCTCACTGTGAGGATGAGGGAGGGCTCCGTCCCCGAGTGGGCTGTTTAAGAAGAGAACTGTTCGTGCGTACACGGTGTTCACTACCTTGCCTGGGAAGATGAACCCAGCTAATCCTTTTAGCGGGCAGCAGCCTGGGGTTTTCCCAGCATCTACCAGTAGTTCCATAGGCACGTTTCAGGCTAAGCCACCCTTCCGATTCGGTCAGCCTTCTCCTTTTGGACAGAATAATACGCTATCTGGGAAAACCTCAGGATTTTCACAGGTATCCGGCTTTCCGACGTCTTCTGGAGTAAGTCATTCTTCTTCAACACAAACATTAGGGTTCTCCCAAACCTCAAACGTTGGACTCTTTTCTGGACTTGAACAAACTCCAGCTTTTGTAGCTGCCTCTGGGTCTTCAAGTTCATGTGTGTCTGCAAACCCAGGATTTAGTTTTAAGTCATCCAATTTTGGGGCTTTTCCGGGTACATCTACATTTGGACCAGAAAGTGGGGAAATAGCAAGCTCTGGTTTTGGGAAAACAGAGTTTAGCTTTAAACCTCTGGAAAATTCCGTGTTTAGACCAATATTTGGGGCTGAATCTGAGCCAGAGAAAACTCAGAGCTCAATTACTTCTGGATTTTTTACATTTTCTCACCCAATTAGTAGCGGTCCTGGGGGGCTGGCTCCATTTTCTTTTCCTCAGGTGACAAGCAGCTCAGCTGCCACTTCAGACTTTACCTTTTCAAAACCAGTCAATAGTAATAATTCATCATCTGCCTTTACCTCTGCTTTGTCAAACCAAAATGTAGAGGAAGAGAAGAGGGCCTCTAAGTCACTATTTGGAAGTTCTAATAGTAGCTTCACTAACTTCCCCGTATCGTCAGGACCTCTGGGTGATCCATTCCCAGTTAGCAAAACAGGTGTAAGACAAGGATGTGAAGAACGTGTTTCCCAGATGGAGCCACTTCCCAGCCTCATGAAAGGACTGAAAAGGAAGGAGGACCAGGATCGGTCCCCAAGGAAACATGGGCATGATGCAGCAGAAGACTTGGATGCTCTGTCAAGGGGAGATCACCCTCCAGATAAACGACCCGTCCGCCTGAATCGACCCCGGGGAGGCACCTTGTTTGGTCGAACGATACAAGATGTCTTCAAAAGCAATAAAGAAGTAAGTCGTCTGAGCAATAAGGAATCTAAAAAGGATATTGGCTGTGCCGAATCTGGGGAGAACGACCACGCGGCCATCCCAGGAGGAAGTCAGTCTGTCTTGGCACCTTCCCGGCTCCCAGGTGTGAATAAAGAGGAAGAAACTGAAAGTAGAGATAAAAAAGAAGGTGAGATCTAAATACATGTGCCGTCCAGTAAATGTTGCTGGCAGGTTTTTGGTATATTTCCCTGGGTCTTAGTTTGATGGGTCTGGTGAATTTTCTGTAAACCCTAGGAATTCTAACATACAAAGAGCATGTTTTACGTGAACATTTCCTTTGCTCTTACATAGGTGCTGCCTCTTGTGTGAAGTGTTATATCTCAGGGGCACCTGGCTGGCTCAGTCGGAAGAGCATGTGGCTCTTGGTCTCGGGGTCATGAATGGGAGCCCCACACTGGATGTGGAGATTACTTAGCAATACAGAAATCAATAGATAGACTTTGAAATGTTATGTCTGATACATTTTTTTTAAAGATTGATTTATTTTCCGGAGCACACAAGTAGACCGAGGGGCAGAAAGAGAGGGAGAGAATCTCAAGCAGGCTGTGACTCCCCGCTGAGCTCCATGCTTGATACGGGGCTCCATCTCACCACCCTGAGATCATGACCGGACCTGAAATCGAGAGTCAGCTGCTTAACTGACTGAGCCACCTAGGCGCCCCGTCTGATCCGTCTTGGTGCCTGTTCTCTGATCCCTAGATTCTCTAAGAGGAACGCCCGGACGTCAAAGTAAAAGAAGCGAGAGCACAGACAGTCTTGGGGGCTTGTCTCCCACTGAAATCACAGCAATCCAGTGTAAGAACATCCCCGACTCTCTCAATGACAGGACCATTCTGGAGCACCACTTTGGTAAAATTGCTAAAGTGCAGCGTATCTATACCAGGCGCAGCAAAAAGCTTGCAGTGGTGTATTTTTTTGATCATGTGAGTATTTCCAAGAAATTTAATGTGAGTGGAAAAAATTTTGAACTTTTTCACTTTAAAACCAATTTTTTAATATACCAATTGTTTTCTAGAATTTGGGCAAGTACTTGAATATCTTATTTTTAACCTGGAGAGGCTGGTGTAGCACTGTTTATTTCATAACTTGGAGTTACTCATGGAAAGCTTGCAGTCCCTACTGAATGAGTGTTCTAGAAATCCTGGGAGAGTGATTCCATGAGTCCAATTCCTCTGAAATGAATGGGAGTGTCTCTGTAATCACACAGCACTTTTTTTGAAATTGAGTTTTCTTGTTTATTTGGTCACAGTACATGATCACTAAACATTCCAACAGTCCAGAAACAGTGGACTCCCCTTGTCGTCCCATTCTCCAGAGATAACTGCTGTTGCTTGTTTGGGTTATAACTTGACTATGAATCTGTGTATAAGCACACGTGCGTAATGTGTTGGTGTGGGTGTGTACATACAGGACTGTTTACATTATGTGGCTTTATATCTTTATTGTTTTTTCTGAATTTTCTTGGGAGAGATAAATTTTTATAGAATTGATAAAGTAGAAAGCATGTCTTTATACTTTTTAAAAATGATAATGTAGGAGGAAAAAAAACGAATCTATGGGAGGGGGCACAAAACTCTATTTTCTAAGATAACTCTATTTTCTAAGATACCAATTAAGAATATTTTGGTTAATATCTTGGTAAGTCTGTAGTCATGTTGGTTTTGCACGAATGGGATCACACTGCATATGCTGTCTGGTAACCTTTCCAGGCCTGAAATCAGTAAATAGCTTGCATTAGAATAGGATTGTTACGTGCTACGTGGCCTTCTGTCGTGGTTACCTACTTGGCCAGTTTTCTATTTGTGGACATTTTATGTATGTGTTTCTGATTGGCTTATATCCTTTGTTTAAATTCCTGAGAGTAGAAGTTCTGTGCCAAAATACATGCACAGCTTTGGGGCTTTTGATGTTTATTCTTTTCTGTTGATTTTTTTTTCAATGGTGGCATTAATTATCTTCACAATGTTGTACAGCCATCACCACTGTCCCTTTCCAGAACTTTTTCATCATCCCAAACAGAAACTGTAACCACTAAGCAATAACTCCCCATTTTCTCCTTCCCTAAGCCTTTGGTGACCTCTAATCTGTTTTCTGTCTCTATCAGTTTGCCTGTTCTAGAAATTACTTTTAAGTGGGATTGTATAATATTTGTCCTGCTTGTTTTGGTTAGTGTCATGTTTTCAAAGTTTTTCCATGAGGTTGTATTTCATTCCTTTTATGGTTGAATAATAGTACATTGTATAGAATAATATTCCAATATATTACATTTTGTTTATTAATCTGTCGATGGACCGAGGTTGTTTCTACTTTTTGGCTATTTTGAATAATGCTGCCATGAAGACAGTGTGCAAATATCTCAAGACCCTTCTTTTAATTTACTGGGTATGTACTTAGGAGTGGAATTGCTGGGTCATATGTGTTGTTTTTTTAGGTTATTTGACTGTTGAATTGTACTTGCGCTTCTAGCTGAACCCTCAAAGATATTAATGTAATAAATATGTAAACTGTCATTGTGAGCAGTTCGCTGGTAAGTGTAATGCCGAGGTCCTGGTTACCCTCATCTCTCCTGTTACCCGGGGGCAAACACCATTACCTAGTATGACGTATTTTTCTAGATGTTTTTGTTGGTATGTCTGTAGGTACGCTAGTAAGTAGTTGCTTTTGTGATAAATTGTATCCCATGTGTATCTTTCTCTTCCTTTTTTTTTTTTTTAATATTTATTTATTTGACAGAGAGAGAGAGCACAGGTAGGCAGAGAGGCAGGCATAGAGAGAGGGGGAAGCAGGCTCCCTGCTGAGCAGAGAGTCCGATGCGGGG